TGTGGCGAGTCCAGCAAGGTGTACGTCTGGGTGATGCCCTCCGCACGACAGAAGCGACCAAGGACACCTGAGGCAAACTCGCCACCACGGTTGGAGTGAAGACGCAGGACAGGGAGACCTCGGTGGACATGAGCAGAGACAAGCCAGGGGATGAGAGCGTCAGGCACGTCAGCCTTGCGCTCCAAGGGAAAGACTGTGGTGTAGCGAGTGAAGTCGTCGACAAGCACGAGGAAGTAGCGCTCTCGACGCGGCCCATGGACGGGGGCAGGGCCCCAGACGTCCATGTGCAGGGTCTGCAGCGGCGCACCGGTAGGGGGAAACGAGGAGGAGTGAGGGGCACGCCGACCCTCGACACAAGGCATGCAAGGTGGGGCGGGGGAGGAGGGAAACGCCGGAAAAGAACCTGGGAGACCAAGGACGAGACCGTGCTGGGACATGTGACGCAGACGGGGGAGTGCAGGGTGACCTAGGCGGTGGTGCCAAAGGAGAGTCGGGCGAGTGAGGGACCGAGAGGAGCAAGCAGCAGCAACCTGGATCGACGCAGCCACCTGAGGGGGCGTCCCAGCCGGGGGGGTCACGGTGTCCAGGGTGAACAGGCCGGACACCGGGTCCCGGGGGAAAGTGGCGGCCTCGGTACAGACAGCATACCGCTCGTGACCAGAGAACGTAGTGGTGACGCCAAGGTCCTGGAGGCAGCCGACACCAACTAGGTTCTTGGAGAACGAGGGGATATGTAGACCTGTAAGAGAGCCCGAAGGGACCGCCGGACAGGGGAGGATGGTGGAACTGCGAGCGACTACTGGACCGCCGGAGGGGTCTGCAAGAGAAACGGCAGCAGGAACAGGAAGCGGCGTCAGCGTAGTAGAGTCGCGGAAGAAACACCGGGAAGCGCCTAAGTCCAAGGTGAAGGAAAGCGAAGCAGTGGCGTCTGGCGACGGGGCGACGGCACAAGCAGCAAGGCTAAACAAAGCAGAAGCTCCTACACCTGACGCAGCAGGGGAGGCTAAGCTAGGCACACCTACACTAGGCGACAAGGAATAATAGGAGGGGAGCACACTAGAGTCATCAGCATACATCACATGCAGAGCAGAAACAATGGCATCCATGTCCATGTCAAAAATCTGAACTCTACGACTAAGCAAACTGTGCCAGTCCGGAAGGTCAGGCGACGGGCCGAAGCGCTGACGAAACAGGTCGTCCAGGCGACGAAAACAGCGAGCACTGGCGTGACCGATCTTACCGCAAACGAAGCCGCGGCGAGGACTGGTCTGGATCTGGTACTGACAGCGCACGCCTCCCAAACCGCCACCCGGTACACCACCACGCGCACGACCACCACCAGCGCCAGGCCACCCGGGCGGGAGGGCACTCGCCTGCCTCGTCTGCGGCGGCTGGTGCGGTTGCTGCGATTGCTGCTACTGCTGCGACTGCTGAGGCGGCTGCTCAGCTGGACCTGGCAGGGTCCCCTCGTCCACTCCACCACCAGACGACCCGACTCCACCACCACCTCCACAGGCACCCCCACCACCGCCGCCGTGCCCAGCCTTGGGGCGGCGGCCCTTCCCCGGACGAAACTGCGCTGCAGCGGCGGTCTCAGCCACAGCTGCAGAACCATCGGAGAAGGTGCACTGAGCGGGGGCACAACCCTGAAAGATAGGGACCGGCACTGTACCGCTCGCCTGAGTGATAGAGCGGTGGCGGGTCTCAATAACAGTCAGGGTGTCTACGAATTCTGTGAGGGTGAGGTCACCCTAAACCCTAAGGAAGCGGTCACGAGCAGCAGCTAGGCGGTCAGGGAGGCGGGTAGCAAGCAGGTAGAGGGTAGAGGTAAGGGGCGGCTGGTAGGCTCTAAGCTGTGCGTCAGTGCAGGCAGCGCGCCAGGTCTCATCTATCATGCGCAGGTGGGCAGCCAAGTCAGCGACAGTGGGGAAAGACGTAAGGTCAGGAAAGAGCATCGGTAAGATCAGGCGACCCACCGAGGCAGCAGGCGGGGCGGAATAGCGCCGGATAACAGCGTCGACGAAAGCCTGGGCAGTGGTGATAGACCTATAGCAAGGACGCTCAGACGGGGGAAGGGCGTTACTAATGGCAAGCTGGGCGACATCGTCACGGGAAAGCCAGACAGAGCGAGCGAGAGCAGCGGCCGCAGTAGACTCGCGCTCAACAGGTGTGGGGTCAGCGGGCAGCACAGCAGGGGGGTCTGGGCAGGGAAGCGTACCGTCAAGGTGTGCCGAGAGCGGGTGGCCATCCTGCCGCTGACCAGTGAGGTGGCGGCGGAGGTCGGCTAGCCAGGCCTCGAACTCCAGAGGCTGGCCTTCAGCGTCGAAGCGAAGCTCCGCCGCCATCAGGAACAGTGCAGGGCAGGGCCAGGTGAGGCAGCGCAGCTCAGGGACGGAGAGCGGGCCGCACGCAGATCGGCGGCAGTCCGGCGGGAAGGTGAGCACGGGGGCCAGTAGCGGCGGGCGCCGGGCCGGCGTGGACTGGTGCGGGGGCCAGGTAGGACGGGCGCGGGGCCGGCTAGGACGGGCCTTGGACGGGCGCGGGGCCGGAGTGGACGGGCCTGGAACAGACGCGGGACCGGCTAGGACGGGCGCGGGGGGGCCTGTAGGAGGGGCGCGGGGGCCAGCTAGGACGGGCGTGGGGGCCGGTAGGACGGGCGCGGGGCCAGCTAGGACGGGCGCGGGGGCCTGTAGGACGGGCGCGGGGGCCAGCTAGGACGGGCGCGGGGGCCGGTAGGACGGGCACGGGGCCAGCTAGGACGGGCGCGGGGGCCTGTAGGACGGGCGCGGGGCCGGTAAGGTCGGGCGCGGGCGCAGTTCAGACGGGCGCGGGGCCAGCTAGGACGGGCGCGGAGGCCTGTAGGACGGGCGCGGGGGCCGCTAGGACGGGCGCGGGGCCGACTAGGACGGGCGCGGGCGCAGCTCAGACGGGCGCGGGGGCCGCTAGGACGGGCGCGGGGCCAGCTAGGACGGGCACGGGGGCCGTGAGGACGGGCGCGGGGGGCCGTGAGGACGGGCGCGGGGCCAGCTAGGACGGGCGCGGGGCCAGCTAGGATGGGCGCGGGGGCCAGCTAGGACGGGCGCGGCGGGCGCAGCTAGGACGGGCGCGGGGGCCGTGAGGACAGGCGCGGGAGCCAGCTAGGACGGGCGCGGCGGGGGCAGCTAGGACGGGCGCGCGGGCGCGGCTAGGACGGGTGCGGGGTCGACTAGGTCGGGCACGAGGGCGGCTAGGGCCTAGGGCGGAAGCATGGGCGGGCAGCGGGACCTACCTACTGCTGATACCATCTTAGAACTGAATAATGGTTGAGTAGTGAGAGAGTACAAGTGAATATACCTAAGTGTTGTACCCTCTAAGAGGTGACCCTATACAGTCTATGCAAACATAACAGATACACATGTTTGACAGTCTGAACTCGCCCACGCGCCTGTAGAAACACGCTCTAAACTCCCCAGTAAATCGGTAGAAAATAATTGAATTTAGACAAGGATTAATCATGCCACAGAGACACGTTCCAGCACAGTTTTAGTGCAGCAGGTAAATTCGGCTAAGGACCACTCAAGCTCTCCTCTCATGTGCTCTATCGCGATCCCATTTCGACTCGTGAGTTTGGTCAAAGACCAATCACGCCTCTCACATGTGCTCCACCATGCAGAGTTCGGACCCCATTCCAACCAAATGTGTGGGGTGGGTGGGTGGGGGGGGGGGGGGGGGGGGGGGTCGGTCTCTTTCAGGCCTCAATCTCGTTAAGGCTTATTAATCAGGGTACACGAAACAAGAGCGTACTAAAAATCAGGCCTAGCAAAATAAGAGCCCCTAAAAATCAGGACAAGGGAAAATCAAAACCTAAAAAAAAGGCTGACCCCTGGAAAACACCCTGATATATAGGCTTTCATGCCTTTTTGGCCTGACTTATGAGGCCCTAATCCCATGAGTAAAACTAGTTTTTGAGCTGTTTCCTTTTTCTCTAATTCTTTACACTTAGTGAGTGATGCCGATTTATGTTGAGCTCCTGCACCTCACTGAGCTTGCAGAGCCCACAAATTCGAACCATTCAGCGGCTCGTCGTTCGCGCCATTTTCAAGCAGGCTTCAGTATCCCACCACTGCGCGCTGCGCCAAATTATAAAGGTTTGGCGGGGTCAAACCACCACTTCCCCCAACCTACCTCTTACCCTTCATAGGCTGTTCAGTGAATGATGAAATGCTGAAGCACGCTAAATTGCTTTGACGTGGTTTCAGCTTCTTGCCAAAAGCCGACGCAATATTGTGAAAGATGGTAAACATTATGCCAGCTTGACGTCACGTGCCTTCTAATTCTCAGTTTCTAACCATGACACGCACACCCCTAGGTGGAATTCTCCCCCAAACCTCCATCCCCCTCCGACTTGTACCTTGAACCGACCCCATCCCCCTGCTGTCACCCGCTTTCCGAGGCGCGAAACTCGATGGTGTGTGATGTGGTGGCTGCAGGCAGAGCAGCAGCCTGCGCCGTACCAGTCACTCTCTCGAGACTGCCTGCATGGTGGGTGCTACTCTTGGGAATACCGCGCCATACCTAACCCGTTGCCCCATTCCCCCTTCCCCCATGTCTCTTCGCCTACGAAATGTGAATTCTGCATGTGGCAGGCTCACGATTCGCATGGGTTCCAAATTTGCATCGATACATCTCTCAGTTGGGAAAGCTGGGGATTCCGTTTCAAGAGAAGGGGAAAGTATGGTCGTTGGGAGCTGCGAAGTGAGTCAGGCTTGAAGACCGATTGCGCGCGATAGAGACACGCCGAGACGCAGGTAGCGATGCAGGTTGCGGTGGCTTCCCGCGTCGTGTAGGGAAAGGCGGAGCCCTGATGCAGTGGCCCTTGAGCTCTCCCCACACCCTTCACCTATCTCCCTAACAACCCTCGACCCAAGGAACTACCCTCGACCACGGTTGTGACCCCCGCGCATCTTGCCTCTCTCTCTAGCTCGTTCCGACTAGTAGGGCTTGTGTCTCGCATGCTCCTTTCCTTCTAACGCGAATAGCTGCAGGCACGTGTCGAGATAGTCGAGCGGAAGCGCGCGCCGCTCGTCGTTATCCACCACACCTACAACCGTGCGATCGCGCTGCTTAACTTTCCGCTTGCGCTATCTTGATATCACGAACCGCGTCTACCTCCTCGTTTAAGCGGCGCTCCCACGTCAAGACTATTTTCACGCCACGCCAAGGCCAGGCCAGAAGAACGAAAGCTGTAGGTGGTTGTTAGGAGCGCCGCTCGCCGTGTTTCCCGAATAAGCAGCTCGCGTCGAGCTCGAATAAACGAATCGATAGCTTAGTCCGTAAGAAAATCGCGTCCGCCATTCTCCCCGGCTCGACCGTAAGAAAATCGCAGACGCCGGCATCATTTTAGTGAGTCTGTTGCAGCGCACCGCACGCATTTAACGCTCGCTCTACTATACTACGCCCGGGTTGGCCCCAGCTGTTTCATAAAGCAATAGACACTACTAAGGAGTGTCGCGCTGATATAAATAGACGCCGACACTGCTGCTACAGGTGTCGTCGACACCATCACTCGACTGCTGGGTCTCATCATAGCGACACTGCGACACTGCGTCATTCGCGAATGTCTGGTCGCCCCGATCAGAATTGCACGGCGTCGCTAGCAACCCATACCCAATCCCACCGAGTCCTATACCGGCGCCTGCACGCGCTTCGCAGAGGACGTGTTAATCCGCGGATCCAACGTGGCGAGAGATAGGATCGGTGTGACGCGTCAGCGCGGCGCGAGGCTGCCGCCAAGCGTACTGCGGCGAGCACTAGGCGGGAAAATGTGACCGCGCAAGCTGGCAGGTGAGAGGTTATGGAGGCCGGTGCTGGCCGGTGTGCTTCTATTCACTAGATATTGAAATGACGTATAATGGGAGGAGGAAAGAGGGAGGAGTAGAGGGGGAGGAGGAGGAGGCGGAGCGGAAGGTGGAGGAGGGGAGGAGGGGGAGGAGGGGGAGGAGGGGGAGGAGGGGGAGGAGGGGGAGGAGGGGGAGGAGGGGGAGGAGGGGGAGGAGGGGGAGGAGGGGGAGGAGGGGGAGGAGGGGGAGGAGGGGGAGGAGGGGGAGGAGGGGAGGAGGGGGAGGAGGGGAGGAGGGGGAGGAGGGGGAGGAGGGGGAGGAGGGGGAGGAGGGGGAGGAGGGGGAGGAGGGGGAGGAGGGGGAGGAGGAGAAGGAGGAGGACGACGATTAGGTGGCGTGGATGACGGTAGCTACTAGCCATTGAGTGCGTCTGAGTGCGAATCGTGAGGAAGAGCGCGAGCAAGGCGGGGTTGTGTTTGGTCAGGCCATGCCGCGTTGCGGTGTGGCGGCGGGAGGCAACGGTGAGCGTGCTGCTCTTGGCGCAGCGCCAGCACCGGCTGTGCCACGTGGTAGCGGATGCGCTACTGCACTCTGTGCGGGACCCGTGAGGGAAGAAGAGAAGCGGGGAGGGGGGAAAGGGAAGGAAGCGGACGAAGCGGACGAAGTGGGGGAAAGGGGGGGAGGTAATGGGCCGTCGAAGTAGCTAAGAACGCGTAGCTCAGTGGGAAAGGGCGCGGAGGCAGGAGGAAGGGGGTGCGATGACGGCAGTTGTGCGGTGTTGCTAGGAATCATGGTTCTCGAAGTTCAGTGCATTCCACTGCATGTCAATCCACGCCAATGAGCATGTCAGTGCATGTCAGCGCATGTGAGTGCATGTGAGTGCATGTGAGTGCATGTCAGCGCATGTGAGTGCATGTCAGCGCATGTGAGTGCATGTCAGTGCGTGTCAGCGCATGTGAGTGCATGTCAGTGCATGTCAGCGCATGTGAGTGCATGTGAGCGCATGTCAGTGCGTGTCAGCGCATGTGAGCGCATGTCAGTGCATGTCAGCGCATGTGAGTGCATGTCAGTGCATGTCAGCGCATGTCAGTGCATGTCAGTGCATGTCAGCGCATGTGAGTGCATGTCAGTGCATGTCACCGCATGTGAGTGCATGTCAGTGCATGTCAGCGCATGTGAGTGCATGTCAGCGCATGTCAGCGCATGTGAGTGCATGCGAGTGCACGTGATGCATGTCAGCGCACGTGAGTGCATGTCAGTGCATGTCACCGCATGTCAGTGCATGGCATGGCTGGTGTAGTGCTGTTAGCGGCTGGCAGGTAGCAGAAGTGTGCTTAGGTGGTGCATGGCACTCCAGGTTGCCTCTTCTCTTCACGCCCTTCTCTGTTTGATTGTCTCTCTCTCTCTCTCTCTGCGTCCATGCGTTGATGCGTGCGTGTGTGCGTGCGCGTGTGCGTGTGCGCGTGCATGTGCATGTGCGCGTGCGTGTGCGTGTGCATGTGCGCGTGCGTGTGTGCGTGTGCGTGTGCGTGTGCGTGTGCGTGTGCGTGTGCGCGTGCGTGTGTGCGTGTGCGTGTGCGTGTGTGCGTGCGCGTGTGTGCGTGTGCGTGCGTGTGTGCGTGCGCGTGTGTGCGTGCGTGTGCGTGTGTGCGTGTGCGTGTACGTGTGCGTGTGTGCGTGTGCGTGTACGTGTGCGTGTGCGTGTGCGCGTGCGTGTGCGCGTGCGTGTGTGCGTGTGCGTGTGCGTGTGTGCGTGCGCGTGTGTGCGTGTGCGTGCATGCGTGGGTATGCGTGCAAGCGTGGGTGTTCGTGTATGTGTGTATCTCTGTGTGGGGGGGTATATGCTGTGCTCACGCTGTGCCTGACGCATGCATGGTGCATACGTCTCTCTCTCTGTGCACCATGGACGAATCCATCCATGCCATGCCCGGCTTTCCCAGCAGCAATCTCAACCAACCACCATCATCCAATCCATCAGAAGCGCATCTCAGCCGTCCATCATGGCGCCGATCACTCCCAGCAGCAGAATCCCCGCCCCTCGTGGGACACCAGACTCGAGGACAACCCTAGCGACAGGGTAAGTGGTTAGCGACAGGGTGAGTGGTTAGCGACAGGGTGAGTGGTTAGCGAAAGGGTGAGTGGTTAGCGACAGGGTAAGTGGTTAGCGACAGGGTGAGTGGTTAGCGACAGGATGAGTGGTTAGCGACAGGATGAGTGGTTAGCGACAGGGTGAGTGGTTAGCGACAGGGTGAGTGGTTAGCGACAGGGTGAGTGTGTTCCATGACACTTTTATACCGCATGCCCCGTGCCGCATGCCCTCATGCCCCATGCTTCATGTTCCCATGCTCCATGCTCCCATGCTCCCATGCTGCCATGCTGCCATGCTGCCATGCTGCCATGCTCCCATGCTCCCATGCTGCCATGCTGCCATGCTGCCATGCTGCCATGCTGCCATGCTCCCATGCTGCCATGCTCCCATGCTGCCATGCTCCCATGCTGCCATGCTGCCATGCTCCCATCCTCCCATGCTCCCATGCTGCCATGCTTGCTCGATCGCTTGTTTGCTGGCATGCTGGCATGCTGCCATGCTCCCATGCTCCGATGCTCCCATGCTGCCATGCTGCCATGCTGCCGTGCTCCCATGCTGCCGTGCTGCCATGCTCCCATGCTGCCGTGCTGCCATGCTCCCATGCTGCCATGCTCCCATGCTGCCATGCTGCCATGCTCCCATGCTGCCATGCTGCCATGATGCCATGCTGCCATGCTCCCATGCTCCCATGCTGCCATGCTGCTATGCTGCCATGCTGCCATGCTCCCATACTGCCATGCTGCCATGCTCCTATGCTGCCATGTTTCCATGCTGCCATGCTGCCATGCTCCAATGCTCCCATGCTCCCATGCTCCGATACTCCCATGCTGCCACGCTCCCATGCTCTCATGCTGCCATGCTCCCATGCTCCCATGCTGCCATGCTCCCATGCTGCCATGCTGCCATGCTCCCATGCTCCCATCCTGCCATGCTCCCATGTTGCCATGCTGCCATGCTGCTCCCATGCTGCCATGCTCCCATGCTCCCATGCTGCCATGCTGCCATGCTGCCATGCTGCCATGCTGCCATGCTCCCATCCTGCCATGCTGCCATGCTCCCATCCTGCCATGCTCCCATGCTGCCATGCTCCCATCCTGCCATGCTGCCATGCTGCCATGCTTGCTCGATCGCTTGCTTGCTGGCATGAAGGGGTGCATGAGTTGACCCCTCACTTTCTCTGGTTCTCTCCATACCCCCCCCCCTGTTGTGTGTCAGCGGAACACCATCCACTCCCCGCTCAACAGCTTCCACAGCAGGTGACACACCATGCCGTGCCATTGTTACCGTGCACTGTTACCATGCGCATAACCACGAGCTGTTTCCATGCGCTGTTACCCCACGCTGTTACACTGCACTGCTACTGTACACTGTTTCACCTCTGCAACCCACATGCGTTCTGCCCACCCCTTTCCTGCTTCCGAGCCTTAATCCTCAATCCCCCTCCTTGCCCTCTTTCCAATCACCTCCCTGCTCTGCTCTGCCCTGTTCGGCTCTGCTCTGCTCTGCTCCTCTCCGCTAATCTTCACTCCCGCCCACTTTTCCCCAACCCCCTCTCAACCCCCAGTCCGAGCGTGCCAAGCGTTCTTCCCCAGGCACTCCCACCAACTCCCCCACTTTCCCCCCTCTTCCCCCCCCCCCCCCAACACCACCCCAACCTCTCCCTCACCCCCCTTCTATCCCTCCCCCTAGTCCCAGCGCGCCACGTGTTCTCCCCCGGCACCGCCACCAACTCCCGTGCCCTGGGCCCCTCCGCTTCGTTTGCTGAAAAGCGCCCCCTGCACGGCCGGTCAGGGCTGGGGGGGGAGCGAGAGAGGGAGCGGGAGAGGGAGAAAGAGAAGGAGAAGGAGAAGGAGCGGGAGAAGGGGAGCAGCAGTGGGGAGAAGGGAGGAGGAGGAGGAAGAGAAGGAGGAGGGGGAGGGGGAGGAGGAAAGGGGGGGAGGGCAGCAGCAGCAGCAGCGCCTGATGTGGTGCGGTCGTTAGATTTCAATGGGGCAGCAGAGGAGCAGGTACGGTGAGGTCTAATGCGTGTTGCTTGCGGCCATTGCCTGACTTGATTGAGTTGTAACCTGACGAGAGTGAGTTGAAACCTGGCTTTAAGTAAGTTGTAACGTGACTTGTTTCTTGAGGCCGTGTGTAGCAAGTGACAAATGTTCGTTCTTTCCTACAGCCTTGCACTGGCCGCCCTTCCCCTTGCACATTCTGCCCTTCCCCTTGCACATTCTGCCCTTCCCCTTGCACATTCCGCCCTTCCCCTTGCACCTTCCGCCCTTCCCCTTGCACCTTCCGCCCTTCCCCTTGCACCTGCCACCCTTCACCTTATCTCCCTGCATCTCCCCCTAGCCTTCCACGCATGGTGCTGAATCCACACGTGGAGACAGGACGGGTAGAGTGTTGCATCTCCCTCCATTGCAAGGCAGTGTTGCAAGATGGGGATGCTGCTTGTGTCAGTGATCTCGCCTAATAACCCACTCCTCTCCTCTCTCCTCACTTCCTCTCTCTTGTATCTTTCTCTCCCCCGGTCTCCCCCCCCCCTCGCCACTCCTTCCTTCCCGCCTCTCTTGTCTCCTCTCTTCCCCTTCCCCCATACTCCCCTCATCTCCAATCCCCCTCATCTCCCTCGTATCCAATCCCCTGTTAATCCCCCCCAACAAACAGCCTGAGCGCAGTGACAACAGCGGAGCGATCACAGTGGCAGGCGGAGCAGGGGGAGGGGGAGGGGCGGAGGAGGGAGCAGGCGGAAAGGAGAACTCTCTGGATGGCAGTGGCGGTGCCATGGGGGGATCTGGTGACGACACTGATGATGATGGTAGGTTGGTGGGTGGGGTGGGGGTGGGGAAGGGGGTCTCGTGAGAAGGAGCCGAGTAGTGGTGGAGAGAGGGAGAGACGGAGCGAGAGGGTGGGGGGGAGAGATGGTGAGACGGTGGAGAGAAGGGAGGGGAAGTGGATGGTGAGAAGGGCAGGGAGTGAGAGAAGGGTGTGCTGAGGCATCCTGTCACGCTCTTTGTGCATCACACAACCACCCTCTGCTGCCTCTCTCTCCGCACCTGCGCTCATCAGCATCTCACTGCCCTATATCAACCCTCTCACTGCCACAACCTTACTGTCCTCCCCTCCCTTGCACGCGCCACCCTCACTCTCCTCGTTGTCCCAATCAACCCTTCTTTTCTCCTCCACCCCTCTCCCTTCCCTTTCTATCCTCGCCCTCCTCCCTCCACCGATCTACCCCCCACCCCTTCCCCCTTCCGCAGCCTGCTCTGGCCCCGCGCCTCCCCCCCATGCATCCGCGTCCCCTGCTCCCACTCCGCCCCCTTTGGCGCGACTGCCCAGTAGCAAGGGCAGGGGTGCGGGGGGAGGGGGGGGGGAGGAGAAGAGGAGGGAGCAGGGGCGGCGCATGCAGCAGGGGGAGGGGCAGGGGCAGGGGGAGCGGCAGCATCGCCCATAAGGGGGCCAGGGGGAGGGAAGGCGGACAGTTCTGGACTGGTGAGTGGAGAGGGAGAACTGGGGGGATGGGGGAATGGTGGGGGGCTGGGAGGCAATGGTGGGGGGCTGGGGGGCAATGGGGGGTGGGAGAATGGTGTGGATGCTGAGGTGGTACGTGCATGCCATATGGTGCTGAAACGCCATCCCATCGTATACCATCCCATCCCATCCCATCCCATCCCATCCCATCCCATCCCATCCCACCCCATCCCATCCCAATCTTGTCCCATCTCATCCATCCCATCCCAATCCACTCCATTCTGTTCCATGGCGTTTCATGTCAATACCGAACCGTCCTCCCTGCTCGTTTACCACTCATTTCCACCACCTGCTTCCTTCCCCCTTCCCCGCCCTTCCTCTCGCTTCTCCCCCTGTACTTCCTGCCCCATGTGCTCCCTGCCCCATGTGCTCCCTGCCCCATGTGCGCCCTGCCCCATGTGCGCCCTGCCCCATGTGCTCCCTGCCCCATGTGCTCCCTGCCCCATGTGCTCCCTGCCCCATGTGTTCCCTGCCCCATGTGCTCCCTGCCCCATGTGCTCCCTGCCCCATGTGTTCCCTGTTCCATGTGTTGGCTCCCTTTCCTCCCTCCAGGTGCCTCAGGCGCTGAAACTGAAGCCCACAAAGGTGAGGCCTATTACGCAACACACCCCCTCGTCTTCCCCCCTTCACAAGCATCCACAGCTGCTGCCACACGCACGCACATTACGCCACTACACAAACCACTGCGTGACCTCTCTTCTCTTCTCACTATAACACACCCCCTCTCTCCACCTCTCCTCCTCTCCCCCCCTCCCCCTCCCCCTCCCCCTCTCCCCTCTCCCCTCTCCCCTCTCCCCCGAATTTCCACCCCCCCTCTCCCCTTGTCTCCCACAGTGGACGCTTACCAGTCTGGGCAGAGACCCCAAGGCGGACCTAGACGCATTCAAAAAAAGGGTGCGCGCTGGGGGGGTTCGGAGGGGGGGGACTTGGGGGGACTTGGGGGAGGGGCTGGAGGAGGGACTTGGGGTGAGAGGGGGGGGAGGGCTGGAGGAGGGGCTGAGGGGAGGGCTGGGGGGATGGAGGGGGATTGGCCGGTGGGGGGGTTGCGAAGAGTAATCTGGGATGAGAGGCTGGGTGGGGGAAGGAAGAAATGGAAGTATTGCTCGTTGTCCCGCTCACAGCATTGCTAGATGCTCATGTGCCTTGTGCGCCGCACCTGCGCATGGTCTCTCTGCTCTCTCATGCGCTCTGCTGCTCGTCTGTGCTTGCACTGCTGCTGCTGCTGCTCACCTACCATCCCATCCCATCGCATCGCATCCCATCCCATCCCATCGCATCCCATCCCATCCCATCGCATCCCATCCCATCGCATCGCATCGCATCCCATCCCATCCCATCCCATCCCATCCCATCGCATCCCATCCCATCCCATCCCATCGCATCCCATCCCATCCCATCCCATCCCATCCCATCCCATCCCATCCCATCCTATCCCATCCCATCCCATCGCATCCCATCCCATCCCATCCCATCCCATCCCATCCCATCCCATCCCATCCCATCCCATCCCATCCCATCGCATCCCATCGCATCCCATCCCATCCCATCCCATCGCATCCCATCGCATCGCATCGCATCCCATCCCATCCCATCCCATCGCATCCCATCCCATCCCATCGCATCCCATCCCATCCCATCCCATCCCATCCCATCCCATCGCATCCCATCCCATCCCATCCCATCGCATCCCATCCCATCCCATCCCATCCCATCCCATCCCATCCCATCCCATCCCATCCCATCCCATCGCATCCCATCCCATCCCATCCCATCGCATCCCATCGCATCGCATCGCATCCCATCCCATCCCATCCCATCGCATCCCATCCCATCCCATCGCATCCCATCCCATCCCATCCCATCCCATCCCATCCCATCGCATCCCATCCCATCCCATCCCATCGCATCCCATCCCATCCCATCCCATCGCATCCCATCCCATCCCATCCCATCCCATCCCATCCCATCGCATCCCATCCCATCCCATCCCATCCCATCCCATCCCATCCCATCCCATCCCATCCCATCCCATCCCATCCCATCCCATCCCATCCCATCCCATCCCATCCCATCCCATCCCATCCCATCGCATCCCATCCCATCCCATCCCATCGCATCCCATCCCATCCCATCCCATCGCATCCCATCCCATCCCATCCCATCCCATCGCATCCCATCCCATCCCATCCCATCCCATCCCATCCCATCCCATCCCATCCCATCCCATCCCATCCCATCCCATCCCATCCCATCCCATCCCATCCCATCCCATCGCATCCCCAGCTGAAAGCTGCTGCATGCACCAGCAGCTGCTTGGATATAGGCCACAGCTGGCTCTGACACCCGCTCTGCTAGCCATGCCGTCTTCTCCCTGTCGCACTCGCTCCTCCTCTTCCCTCCCTGGTTGTGCCGCTCTCTCTCTCTCTCTCGCCCCACTTGCCCTCTTTCCCCCGAGTGTCCCCTTCACCCCTCCCCGTGCCTCTCTCTCCCACCACCACCTGCAGCTGGAGATGGCTGAGCGCAACCTTAAGCTCGCCACAGCCCCCCTCAATCTCCTCCCCTCCTTTCCCCGGCTATGCTGCGCTCCCCTCCCCCTCTCCTCGTGCCTCTCTCTCCCACCACCACCTGCAGTCGGAGATGGCCGAGCGCAACCTTAAGCTCGCCACGGCCGCCCTTACACGATCCGAAGCCCTCTTTGCGGTATGCCATGCCATACGGTGCCATTCCGTGCCATGCCATGCCATGCCATGCCACCTTCTGTCATTTTGCACCCAATCAACATGAGCTGGCGTCTCTAGAGCAGCTCTACCGTGAGTGCGTGCTGTGCGTGAATCCCCCGGTCGCTGCCTGCCCTCGCTCTACACGGCCATGTTCGCCACACACGTCGCGCAACATTTTGCAGGGTGTTTTTGAAGGGCCAGCTCTGCGTTTTCTGCCTTGCGACCATCCTCGGCTGGCCCTTATTCTCCTCCTGTCCTGCCATCGTGGTGCACGCGTGGGTCCATCTATGTGCCCATCCGACGCATGGGTTGATGTGTGCGCCGGCCAGTGTATGTGCATGGCTCTTTTTTTTTTTCTTGGCGCCTCAAAAATGGGTCCTTCTATGTACCCATCCGATGCATGGATTAATGTGTGCGTGGGTGTGTGTGCATGGTATCAGGAGCGGAATAAGGAGATGGAGGAGATGCAGGAGAGGATGAATGTGAAGGACAGGGAGATAGCAGCACTCAATGACATGGCAGATGGGCTCAGAAGGTGAGGCAAGGGGAGGGGATGCGGGGGGAAGGAGGGGGTGGGGAAGAGGGAGTGAAGGGGACGGTCTGGAAAGAGGTGGAAGAGAGGCACAAGTCTTCTCTTTCCCCTTCCCCCTCGCTTCTAGCCTCTGGATTCTGTTTCCATACATGACCAATTCCGCTCTCCCGAATCCTCTGGAATAACGTCCTACTCCCTGACTCTCTTTATGGCTTCTCCCACTCATTTTTCAACCCTTCCGCCCTTCTTCCGTTCCGTTTTCAACCCCCTTCCACCCCCCTTCCTCCAACCAGCGACATAGCCGGGTTGCAGTCGGACTTAGCTGCCGCCACTGCGGATGCAGCAGCTGCTAAGGCAGCCACGCAGAGGGCAAGAGCAGAGACGGAGAGGGTAAAGGGCGTGCTGGCAGGAGTGAGGGGGGAGAAGGAGGGTGTGGAGAAGGAATTGCTGGAGACGCAGGAAGAGGGGGGGAGGATGAGGGAGAAGATCGCTGGACTGGAGAAAGAGAGGGAGGACTTGGAAGGGGAGTTGAAGAGAGTGGGGAGGCTGATGGAGAGGAGAATGAGGGAAGCGGAGGAGAGGGAGGAGAAGGTGAAGGGGGAGAGGGAGGACTGGAGGGGAAGGGCGGAAGGCCTTGAGAGGGAGAGGAAGAGGTTGGAGGGGGAGCTGGGGACGGCTATAGGTGAGAGGGATGTGCTGAGGAGAGGGGTGGAAGGGGCCATGGGGATATCAAGGAAGGTGGAGGTGCGGGGGGAGGGTGAGGGAGTGAGGGAGGGAGAGGGTGGGGAAATAGGAGGGATGGGACTGGAGGGTGTGGTTGGGTTGCTGGAGAGGAGAGTGGGGAGTTTGGTGGGGGAGATTGAGAGAGAGAGGGGGGAGAGGAGGAGAGAGAGAGAGGAAGGGGAAGAGAGAGAGGGGAAGCTGAAGAGCCAGCTGCAAGAAGCGAGAATGAACTGGGAAAGGCTCGAGGGTGAATTGAAGAGCGAGCAGCAGGAGAGGAAGAGAGAGGGGGAGGAAGGAGAGGCGAGGGAAGAGGGTTTGAAGGGAGAACTGAAATTCGAGAAGCAGGAGAGGCAGAGGGAGAGGGAGGAAGGAGAAGCGAGGGAAGAGGGTTTGAAGGGAGAACTGAAATTCGAGAAGCAGGAGAGGCAGAGGGAGCGGGAGGAAGGAGAAGCGAGGGAAGAGGGTTTGAAGGGAGAACTGAAATTCGAGAAGCAGGAGAGGCAGAGGGAGCGGGAGGAGGGAGAAGCTAGGGAAGAGGGTTTGAAGGCAGAACTGAAATTCGAGAAGCAGGAGAGGCAGAGGGAGCGGGAGGAGGGAGAAGCTAGGGAAGAGGGTTTGAAGGCAGAACTGAAATTCGAGAAGCAGGAGAGGCAGAGGGAGCGGGAGGAGGGAGCAGCTAGGGAAGAGGGTTTGAAGGGAGAACTGAAATTCGAGAAGCAGGAGAGGCAGAGGGAGCGGGAGGAAGGAGAAGCGAGGGAAGAGGGTTTGAAGGGAGAACTGAAATTCGAGAAGCAGGAGAGGCAGAGGGAGCGGGAGGAAGGAGAAGCGAGGGAAGAGGGTTTGAAGGGAGAACTGAAATTCGAGAAGCAGGAGAGGCAGAGGGAGCGGGAGGAAGGAGAAGCGAGGGAGGAGGGTTTGAAGGGAGAGCTGAAATTCGAGAAGCAGGAGAGGCAGAGGGAGCGGGAGGAGGGAGAAGCGAGGGAAGAGGGTTTGAAGGGAGAACTGAAATTCGAGAAGCAGGAGAGGCAGAGGGAGAGGGAGGAGGGAGAATCTAGGGAAGAGGGTTTGAAGGGAGAACTGACATTCGAGAAGCAGGAGAGGCAGAAGGAGCGGGAGGAAGGAGAAGCTAGGGAAGAGGGTTTGAAGGGAGAACTCAAATTCGAGAAGCAGGAGAGGCAGAGGGAGCGGGAGGAGGGAGAAGCTAGGGAAGAGGGTTTGAAGGGAGAGCTGAAATTCGAGAAGCAGGAGAGGCAGAGGGAGCGGGAGGAGGGAGAAGCTAGGGAAGAGGGTTTGAAGGGAGAGCTGAAATTCGAGAAGCAGGAGAGGCAGAGGGAGCGGGAGGAGGGAGAAGCTAGGGAAGGGGGTTTGAAGGGAGAGCTGAAATTCGAGAAGCAGGAGAGGCAGAGGGAGCGGGAGGAGGGAGAAGCTAGGGAAGAGGGTTTGAAGGGAGAGCTGAAATTCGAGAAGCAGGAGAGGCAGAGGGAGCGGGAGGAGGGAGAAGCTAGGGAAGAGGGTTTGAATGGAGAACTGAAATTCGAGAAGCAGGAGAGGCAGAGGGAGCGGGAGGAAGGAGAAGCGAGGGAGGAGGGTTTGAAGGGAGAGCTGAAATTCGAGAAGCAGGAGAGGCAGAGGGAGCGGGAGGAAGGAGAAGCGAGGGAGGAGGGTTTGAAGGGAGAGCTGAAATTCGAGAAGCAGGAGAGGCAGAGGGAGAGGGAGGAAGGAGAAGCGAGGGAAGAGGGTTTGAAGGGAGAACTGAAATTCGAGAAGCAGGAGAGGCAGAGGGAGCGGGAGGAAGGAGAAGCGAGGGAGGAGGGTTTGAAGGGAGAGCTGAAATTCGAGAAGCAGGAGAGGCAGAGGGAGCGAGAGGAAGGAGAAGCTAGGGAAGAGGGTTTGAAGGGAGAGCTGAAATTCGAGAAGCAGGAGAGGCAGAGGGAGCGGGAGGAAGGAGAAGCGAGGGAGGAGGGTTTGAAGGGAGAGCTGAAATTCGAGAAGCAGGAGAGGCAGAGGGAGCGGGAGGAAGCAGAAGCGAGGGAGGAGGGTTTGAAGGGAGAGCTGAAATTCGAGAAGCAGGAGAGGCAGAGGGAGCGGGAGGAAGGAGAAGCGAGGGAGGGGGGTTTGAAGGGAGAGCTGAAATTCGAGAGGCAGGAGAGGCAGAGGGAGCGGGAGGAAGGAGAAGCTAAGGAAGAGGGTTTGAAGGGAGAACTGAAATTCGAGAAGCAGGAGAGGCAGAGGGAGCGGGAGGAAGGAGAAGCGAGGGAGGAGGGTTTGAAGGGAGAGCTGAAATTCGAGAAGCAGGAGAGGCAGAGGGAGCGGGAGGAAGGAGAGGCTAGGGAAGAGGGTTTGAAGGGAGAACTGAAATTCGAGAAGCAGGAGATGCAGAGGGAGCGGGAGGAAGGAGAAGCTAGGGAAGAGGGTTTGAAGGGAGAGCTGAAATTCGAGAAGCAGGAGAGGCAGAGGGAGCGGGAGGAAGGAGAAGCTAGGGAAGGGGGTTTGAAGGGAGAACTGAAATTCGAGAAGCAGGAGAGGCAGAGGGAGCGGGAGGAGGGAGAAGCTAGGGAAGAGGGTTTGAAGGGAGAACTGAAATTCGAGAAGCAGGAGAGGCAGAGGGAGCGGGAGGAGGGAGAAGCTAGGGAAGAGGGTTTGAAGGGAGAACTGAAATTCGAGAAGCAGGAGAGGCAGAGGGAGCGGGAGGAAGGGAGGGAGAGGGAGGAGCAGTTAAATGCCCAGTTGGAGGAGGAGAGGAGGGAGAGGAGCATGGAGAGGGGTGGGGGCGAGGAGAGGGAGGGGAGGTTGAGAGGAGAGCTTTTGGATGCACGAGAGAATGGGGAGAAGATTGAGGGAGAGCTGAGGGGGGAGAGGGAGGAGAGGGCGAGGGAGAGGCGGGAGGGGACTGTAAGGGAGGAGATGTTGACGGGGCAGCTGGAGGGATCTAAGGCACTTGGATTGCAGCTTAAAGAGGAGTTGGAGAAAGGAAGGGAGGAGAGGTCCAGGGAGAGGAGTGAGAGTGAAGAGAGGGAGCGGGCGTTGAGGCAGCAGCTGCAGCAGTCTAAGGCTGTGGGGGAAGGGTTGGAAGAGGAGCTGAGAAGAGAGAGGGAGGAGAGGAGGAGAGAGAGAGAGGAGGGAGCGGGGAGAGAAGAGGGTTTGAAAGAGGAGGTTCGGAAGCTGGTAGCGGCACGAGAGTGGCTGGAAGAGGAGTTGGGGCGAGAGGAGGAGGAGCGGAGGAGGGAGAGGGGAGAAGCGGAGGAGAGGGAGGGCGAGCTTAAGAAGCTTCTGAGTGATTGTGAAGAGAGGTGTGCGGAGCTGGAGGGGGGTCTTTTGAGAGAGAAAGAGGGGAGGGAGCAGGAGAGGAGGGAGGGAGTGAAGAGGGAGGAGGCGCTGAAGGCTGAATTGGAGAGAGAACGGGAGCAAGGGAGGAGGAGAGAAGAGGAGTTGATGGTGGAGAGGGTGGAGAGAGCGAGGGAGAAGACAGAGGGGCAAGAAAGGGAGGAAGATTTGAGGGGACTGCTTCGGAAGGAAGCAGAGGAGAGGGAGAAGGAGAAGCGGGAAGGGGCGGAGCGAGAGAGGAGGCTGGAAGAGGAGTTATCTGCAGCACGGGAAGAATGCCTTGTGATGGAGCAAGCAGTCAGGGTCGAGAGGGAGGAGAGGGCGAGGGAGACGAGGGAGGGCGAGGAGAGGGAGAGAAAGCTGAGGGAGGAACTCGAGGCAGCTGGGGCGGACTGTGTTACACTGGGAGAGAGCCTTCGGGCTGAGAAGGCGGAGAGGGAACGGGAGAGGCTGGAGGGTGGCGAGAGAGAAGGAAGGTTGGAGGGAGGCTGGAGGGTGGCGAGGGAAGAGGTGGCAGCTGCGATGGAGAGAGGTGATCGACTGGAGCAGCAGCTTGGGAATGAGAAGGCGCAGAGGGAGAGGGAGGGGAAAGAGGGCGAGGAGAGAGAACGGAGGTTGAGGGAGGAGGTAGCGGCAGCTAGAGCGGAGGTCTGTAGAGTGGAAGACGCACTTAGAGTGGAGAGGAAGGAGAGGGAAAGGGAGAGGAGGGAGGGGGAGGAGAGGGAGGAGGGACTAAGGGAGAGGTTGCAGGGTGAGGTGGAGAAGGTAGGGCGGTTGGAGAGAGAGTTGGGAGAGGAGAGGGAGGGTAGGATGAGGGAGGGTAGAGAGGGGAGGGAGCGAGAGGTGGGGCTTGAGAGAGCGTTGAAGGGAGAGAGGGAGGAGAGGGCGAGAGAGAGGAGGGAGGGGGAGGAGAGGGAGGGGAGGTTGAGGGAAGAGGTGAAGGAAGCACGGGAGGTTGGGGAGAGGATTGAGGGAGAGGTGAGAGGGGAGAGGGAGGAGAGGGCGAGGGAGGGGATGGAGGCAGACGAAAGGATCAGTGGACTGATAAGGGAAGTGGAAGATGAACGGGAGAGCAGAGCGGCTGAGAAGAAGGAATACGAAGAGAAGGTGGGAGAGGTGAAGCGGCAGGTGATGGAGCAGCACGGGATAGTGCTGAGGATGGAAGGGGAGTTGAGGGTGGAGAGGGAGGGGAGGGAGAGAGAGCGGAGGGAGGGAGAGGAGAGAGAGAAAAGATTGAGGCAGGAGTTGGGTGTGAAGCAGGAAGGGAGGCGGAAGGAGAAGGAGGAGGCGGAGGGGAGAGAGAGGACGTTCATGAGTGAGTTGAAGGAAGCGAGGGATAATATCGTGAGGATGGAGGGGGAACTGGTAAAGGAGAGGAGGGAAAGGGAAAGGGAGAAGAGAGAAGGTGGAGAGAGAGAGGCTGAATTGAGAGGGCGGATAGATGAAGAGAGGGGAGAGAGGGAGGGAGAGAGAAGAGAAGCGAGGAGAAAAGAGGAAGCGTTGAGGGAGAGGGTGAAGGAGGGAGAGGAGAGGATTGAGGTGTTCCAGGGGGAGATGGAGAGAGAGAAGGGGGAGAGGGAGAGGGAGCAAAAGGAGGGGATGGAGAGGGAAGAGGCTCTAAGAGGACAGTTGGAAGAGGCGGAAGGGAGGGGCAGAGGGTTGGAGAAAGAGCTTAGAGAGGAGAGGGCGAGAGGGGAGAAGGAGAGGCGTGAATGGGAGGAGAGGGAGGGAAGGCTGTGTGAAGAAAAGAGGTGTGAGAGAGAGGCGAGGGAGAGGGAGAGCGCAGAGGCGGAGACAAAGCTAGGGGAAATGAGGGAGGCGCTGAATGGGGTAGAAGATAGTGTGAGGAGGCTTGAGGGGGAGGTGAAGGTGGAGAGGGAGGAGAGGGAGAGGGAGAGGGAGGAGGGAGGGGAAAGGGAAAGGAGTTTGAGAGGCGAGGTGCGGGGTGCAGAGGAGAGGTGTGGTGAGTTGGAGGGGCGGTTGAAGGTGTGGAAAGAGGAGAGGGATAAGGAGAGGAGAGAGGGGATGGAGAGGGAGGAGGGACTGAGGGAGGAGCTGGAGAGAGAGAAGGGGGAGAGGAGGCGAGAGGTGGAAGAGGGGGAGGAGAGGGAGGGGTCCCTGAGGGAAGAGTTGAGGCAAGCGAAGGCGTTGAGTGATCGACTGCAAGGGGAGTTGGAGATGGAGGTGGAGGAGAGGGAAAGGGAGAGAAGAGATGAGGAAGAGAGGGTGAAGAGGGTTGAAGGGGAGTTGGCTGCGGTGCAGCAGGAGTGTGTGTACCTACAAGGGGAGGTGGATAGTGTGAGGGAGGAGAGGGAGAGGGAGAGGAGGGAGGCGGAGGAGAGGGAGGAGAGGTTGATTGGAGAGATTCAGGTTGCACAAGGGGAGGTGGAGAGGGTGGAGAGGGAGAGGGAGAGGGAGAGAGAGGAGAGGGAGGCGGAGGGTGAGACAGATAGGGAGGAGAGGGAGAAGGAGAGGATGGAGTGGGAGGGACGCATACAGGCGGTGGAAGAGGACTTGAGAGAGGTGCAGGGAGATTGTGTGCGGTTGGAAGGGGAGTTGGAGAGGGAGAGAGGGGAGAGAGTGAGGGAGCGGCGGGAGAGTGAGGAGAATGCAGAGAGGCTTGTGAGGGAACTGAATGGGGAGAGGGAGAGGAGGGAAGAGGAGAGGAGGGAGAGAGAGGAGAAGGAGGAGGCATTGAGGAGTGAGCTTGAGCAGTGGAAGCAGGCGTGTGGGAAGATGGAGGAAAGAGTGAAGGAAGAGAGGGAGGCGAGGGAAAAGGAGAGAGGGGAGGCGGAGAAGGGGAAGAGGGAGGGAGAGGAGAGGCGGGAGGAGTTGGAGGGAGAGCTGAAGGAGGCGAGGGAGAGGGTAGGAGTATTGGAGAGGGAGGTGCGGATGGAAAGGGAGATGAGGGAGAGAGACGGGAAGGGGAAGGGGGAGAGAGAGGAAATGTTGATGGAAGATGTGAGGAGAGAGAGGGAGGAGAGGGCTAAGGAGAGGGACGAGACGGCTAAGGAGAGGGAGGAGTGGACGAGAAGAGAGGGAGAGCTGAAGGGTGAGTTGAAGAGGGCGAAGGAGGAGAGGGAGGAGAAGGAGAGGGTGGTAAGGGAAGTGGAGGGAAGGGAGGAGGAGTTGAGGGAGGAGTTGAGATTGGAGAAGGAAGAGAGAGAGAAAGAGAGGAGGGGAGGGGAGGAGCGAGAAGGGAGGTTGAATGCTGAGCTGCAGGAAGCTCGGGAAAGAGTTGAATCACTAGAGGTTGAGTTGACAGTGGAGAGGGGGGAGCGGGAGAAGAGGAGGACGGAACAGGAGGAAAAGGAGATACAGCTGCGGAAGGAGATGGAACGAGAGAGGGAGGAGCATGTGAGGGAGAGGAGGGAGAGGGAGGAGAAGGAGGCAAGACTGGAGGAGGAGATCCATGCAGCAGAAACGGCACTTGAGATTGTGGATAAGGGGTTGAGGGAGGAGAGAGAGGAGAGGGAGAGCGAGAGGAGGAAGAGAGAGGAGGAAAGAGAGGAGGAGAGGGAGGAGTTTGAGAGAGAGAAGCGGAAAGCAGATGAGGAAAGGAAGGAGGTGGAGGAGAGGCGTGGGGAGAGGGAGGCCGAGCTGGTGGGGGAGATTGAGAAGCTGAGGGCGCTGGTGGGGGTGGGGGAAGGGGAGGAGGAGAGGAGGAGGAGGGAGAGAGGGGAGGGAGCGGATGCAGCGAGGAGCAGGGAGAGAGTGAGGGAGGAGGAGTGGAGGGAGGAGGTGGGGCGAATGGAGGAGAGGGAGAAGGAAAGGCTGGCGGAGAGGGAGGGTTTTGAGAGGAGGGTGAAGCAGTGGGAGGAAGAGAAGGAGAGAGAGAGGAGTGCGGAGGAGGAGAGGGAAAGGGAGAGGGAGGCTTTTGGGAGAAAGGAACGTGAGTGGGAGATGGAGAGGAAAGAGGAAAGGATAAGGGAGGAGGAGAGGGAGGAGGAGAGGAGAGAGGAGATTAGCAGGGAAGGGGAGAGGCAGAAGGAAGTAGAGGAAATGGAGTTGTGCGAAGCACAATGGGAGGCTGAAAGGGAACAGGAACGAGAGAGGGACGAGGAGAGGAGGACGGATAAGGAGGTGTTTGAGAAGAAGGAGAAGATGTGGGAGAAAGTGAAGGCAAGGATGCAGGTGCGGGAGGACGAGAGGATAAGGGAGAAGACAGCCTTTGAGGAGAAGGAGAAGCAGTGGGAGGAGGAAAGGGAGGAAGAGAGGAAGCGAGAGGAGGAGAGGGAGAAGGAGCGGAGTGCTTACAGGGAGAAGGAGCAGCAGTGGGAGCTGGAGAGAGAAGAGGAGAGGAGGCGGGAAGAGGAGAGGGGGAGGGAGAGGGAGATGGAAAAAGAGAGGCAGGAGCAGAGAGAGGAGGAGAAGGTTGTGGAGAAGGCCCGAGCAGAGGAGAGGGAGAAGGAGAGGGAGGTATACAAGGAGAGAGAGCGGATATGGGAGGAGGAGAGGAGGAGTGAGGAGCAGCGGGAAGAGGAGAGGAAGACGAAGAGCGTTGGAAAGGCTGGCTCGAAGAGACCTGGAGAGGAGGGCGGAGAGGGCGGGGAAGGAGGCGAAGGAGGGGATGGAGGGGATGGAGGGGATGGAGGGGATGGAGGGGATGGAGGGGATGGAGGGGATGGAGGGGATGGAGGTTGGGACATGGAAAGGGATATGGAGAGGGAGAGGGAGGAGTGGCGGCGGTTGTGGCAGAAGAACGGACAGAAGGGCGAGGGTGAGGGGATAGTGGAGAGGAGCGGAGAGGGGAGTGAGGAGGATGAGGACACGTGGAGCGATGAGGAAGTGGGGGCGGAAGGGGGGGGGGAGGGACGGGCCAGGAAGGTGGGGGAAATGGGAGAGGGGGGGAGAAAAGCAGGGGAACAGAAGGGGAGCGGGCAGGGGAGGAGGGTGCGTGTGCGAGTGCGAGTGAGAATGCGGATGCAGCAGCGTTGGAGGTGGGGGGGGGGGAGGAGGGGGTACTGAGGTTGCTGGCCATGCAGTGGGGCGAGGTGGGGGGCGTGTGGGAGAGGCTAAACGCGTGGCTCAGATCGGAGGACGCCCAGAAGGCGTGGAGGATGGTGAGGGAGCTGATGGATAGAGGCAGGTGGGAGGCGATGCTGAAACAGCTCGAGAGAGGTGGTGGTCCGGGTGCTGGTGGTTTTGGTGCTGCTGGTTGTGTTGGTGCTGCTGCTGCTGCTGGTGGAAGTGGGAATTTTGCTGGTTGTATGGGTGGTTTTGGTGGTCTGAAGTTGCAACTGCCTTCACCAACAGCAGGCAGGGGGGCAGCGGCGGCAGCCAAGGGTGAAGCAGACGGGGGTGACTGTAACGAGGTGGGCAGCACCAGCGGCAGCAGTACTACCAGCGGCAGCAGCACCACCAGCGGCAGCAGCTGGTGCAGCTGCAGCAGCAACAGCAGCAGCACCATCAGCACCACCAACCTCCCCCGAAACCACCTCTCGAAAGACCCAGCTTTCCGCGAGCACCTGCAAGCGGAGGTGGAGGAGGCTCGAACCCACAGGGACGGGTGGGAGGAGTGGGAGTGGCGTCGGGAGCTGGAACGCACAGAAGAGAAGCTCATAGACGTGCATGGAGCCCTCCTAGACGCCCGGGAAGAGCTGGGAGTGCTGAGATCCGCCAGGGATAACACGGTCCGCGCGGTGGTGGGGGAGATGGAGGAGATAAGGCGGTGTCTGAGGGTGGTGGAGCGGGACCGGCAGAGGGCAGCAGGGGCTGTGGGGGCGGTGAGGGAGGCGCTGGTGAAGGTGACGATAGAGAGGGAGGCGTTCCGAGTGGCTCTGGAGCACTCGAACAGCGAGTGCCGGAAGCTGGTGGCGGCTATGGTGAGTCGAGGGGGGCAAGGGGGGCGGAGGGGAGGGGGCATTGATGGTGGGTGCATGGGGCAAACAAGGTGTGCTGGAGCTCTCGAACAGCGAGTGCCGGAAGCTGGTGGCGGCTATGGTGAGATGGGCCCGGGGAAGGTGAGAGGGGTCCATGGTGGGTGGGATGGGAAAGAGTGACTGGGGGAAGAGATTTGGGCCATGGTGAGTGTGACGGGCGGGAAGGGGGGTGAGCGGATAGGGTAAATAAGGGGCGATGGAGCATTCAGACAGCGAGTGTTGGAGGCTGGTCGCTGCTACGGTGAGTCACGGGGGGGGAGGGTAGGGGGCTCTGTGGAATTGAGGTCGACCAGGAAAAGGGGGCCTGGCGCACTCGAAGAGCAAGTGCCGGAAGCTGGTGGCGGCTATGGTACGTGGGTTGGGGGGAGGGAGAGAGGAGCGGAGGAGGCTGCGTGGTGTCAACAGGGCGTTGGGGCACTCTAGTGGTAGGGGTGCGGGAAACAGTGAGATCAAAGGGAGGCGGCACAGTTAAAATTAGCTGCATCAAATCATGGCGGTTATGGCTGTTTGTTCAAGCCCAGTTCAAGTCCGCTCTCCTGTTTGAACACTCATCTTCCTGCATCGCACTGCTCACCTCCCTCCTCATCCTATCTCCCCCTCCCGGGCCCTTTCCCGTTGTGTCAGCGCTCCAACGACAAGTCTAAGATGCTGCAGTCTCTGCAGGCCGACCTGGCTGCCTCTCAGGTAAGCCGTGCCATGCCATGCAATGCCATGCCATGCCATGCCATGCAATGCCGTTCCATGCCATGCCATGCCATGGCTCACCATAGTACACACACCAACACAACGCCTGTGAGCCGTTCTGCACTGCATTCCACCACATACACATTCACCATCGAGCGCCTCCCCAAGCAGTGCCTGCGTCGCAACGGAGCACCCTCCACTCCGCACTTGCCCTCCCCTCCTCCTCTCTGGCTACCTCTCACTGCCACCACCTCGTCACGATCACCACCTTATCTCTGCCACCACCTTGTCAACATGTCTCAGCCACATCCACGGACTCCATTCCCCTTGTCTTCCCCCCTCAACTTCCCAAAACCCACCCCCGCCCTCCCCTTTAAGCCAGATGAATGAGCCTCCAGCGACCATCCTTGCCCTGGAGTCCACGATTGAGGTGCTGCAGCAACAACACAAGGGGGCGGGGGGGGGGGGGATGGGTGTGGGGTCAGAGTCTACAGGGTCAATGACAGTGATGTTATGAGGCGCCTCACGGAACTAATCTCGATCCCCCCTCTTCCCTTTGCTTTCAGGTGATTATCCGGTCACTGGAGTCCACAATTGAGGAGCTGCAGCAGCAGCAGCACCAGAAGAAGGGGGCGCAGGGGCGAGGGGACACAGACTACTGTGGCAGTGACAGAGCTGATTAGAGGCACATCAAGGTGCTTATCTTTCTTCTCCTTTTCTCCTTTTCCCCCTCATCCCCCTCTTCCCCCTCTTCCCTTGGCCTTCAGGCGACCATCCGTGCCCTGGAGTCCACGATTGAGGTGCTGCAGCAGCAGAAGCAAAAGGGGCCGCAGGGGCGAGAGGGGAGAGACTGTGAGAGTGACAGTGGCGAGCGGAGTGACTATAGTCTGCTTAAGGAGGTGAGCCAACCTTAACTGGACGCCAGCCAACCATTTTGGACGCCAGCCAACCACAGCTGGACGCCAGCCAGCCACAGCTGGCAGCCAGGCGCAGCTGGACGCCAGCCAATCAAAGCTGGACACCAGCCAGCCACAGCTGGACGCCAGCCGACCACAGCTGGACGCCAGCCGACCACAGCTGGACGCCAGCCACTAGGCTTTCCCGGGACACTAGGCTTTCCCAGGTCTCACTTCCCAAGGTCTCACTTCCCCAGGTCTCACTTCCCCAGGTCTCACTTCCCCAGGTCTCACTTCCCAAGGTCTCACTTCCCCAGGTCTCACTTCCCCAGGTCTCACTTCCCCAGGTCTCACTTCCCAATGTCTCACTTCCCCAGGTCTCACTTCCCCAGGTCTCACTTCCCCAGGTCTCACTTCCCCAGGTCTCACTTCCCCAGGTCTCACTTCCCCAGGTCTCAGTTCCCCACATCTCACTTCCCCAGGTCTCACTTCCCCAGGTCTCACTTCCCCAGGTCTCACTTCCCCAGGTCTCACTTCCCAAGGTCTCCCTTCCCCGAGTCTCACTTCCCCAGGTCTCAGTTCCACAGGTCTCACTTCCCCATGTCTCAGTTCCCCAGGTCTCACTTCCCCAGGTCTCACTTCCCCAGGTCTCACTTCCCCAGGTCTCACTTCCCAAGGTCTCACTTCCCCGGGTCTCACTTCCCAAGGGGTTAGGGGGCCGTGGCCGAGAGGGTAGGTATTTTGAAGAGAGAAGGAAGCTGAGGAATGATATTCATGGGGTACTTGTGGATTTCCAAGCAATGGGATAACTCTTGCAGAGGCAATAAGCCCATACAAGAGGCAAAAGGCAAGTCCATGGGGACTTGAATTGAATGCACTATCCGGTGCTCCTTGCATCTCTTTCTTGGCTCATGTCACCATCACCCTTGCACCTTGTTACTGCTGGTTTTTTTAGAGTTCTCAAAAGCCTACTGCAGCAGCTACAAATCAGCAATTCCCCAATATTCCCCTTGCCACTTGCACTGCCTCTACGGCCATCCTCCACCTCGTACCACTCCATCTCCTCACTCGTTTTTCTCCGCAAATCCCCCTTCCCACCTGTGTGTTGCGTGTCTTCCTGTGCGTTGCGTTCCTTGACCCGATGTGGTGCATTCCAGTACAAGGAGCAGGCCAAGCACCTGCAAGCAGTGCTGGGGCAGGTGAGCAGTGGGCACGTGGGCAGGAGAGCAGGTGAGCACTGGTGGGGAGGTATAGTAGTGTGTTCAAACGAGTGCAGTGCATGTGATTCAAGTTAAGTTCTGAGGCGTCTCAAAACTAGACTGCAGGAAGGAGTGGGGCAGGTGAGCACTGCTGGGTGTGTTTCAGCCGAGTGCACACCCCCCCCTCAGTGCAGTTCCCTGTGCTTTCCCTTGTCTGTCCGTGACTCGTGCATCAGCAACCCAACCTGTCCGTCTCCCTTCAATGGCTTCACCTCCCCCCTTACCCCACCGCTTTTCATGCTTCACCTTCTTCCCCCTTGTCCTTCCCCCTTCACCTCCTTCCCCCTTCACCACCACCACAGACACGAGAGCAGCTGGACAGTCGCAGCAACGAGGTGATGCGGTTGAGAGCGGTGCTGGTGGCAGCAGAGAGGGCAGAGAGGGGCGTAAGATGGGGCAGAGAAGGGGTGGAGGCTATGGGGGGTGTGGAGGGAAGCGAGGTTGGGGGGCGCAGGGGTGGTGGAGATGCAGGGGCAATGAGGGTGCATCGTGTGGAGCATGCCGCTGCTGCTACTGCTGCGACGGCGGCGGCTGCTGCTGCTCCTGTTGCTGCTCCTGTTGCTGCCAGTGCATGCAGTAGTGGTGCTGCAAACACCGCTGCTACGATTGCGCCCAGGTCCATGGTACCATCAGCTGCTGCTGTTGCACCCTCCAGAACTGCTCCTCCGGCTCATTCTGCTGCTGTCCATGCCAACCCCATCAACCCACCTGCTGTGGTACGTACTGGCCCCACTGCTGCTTCTACTGCTGCTACAGATGCGATACTTGCCGCGGGTTGTTTCCCTGCTACAGACGTCAAACGCAAGCCTCCTCTCTCCACTGGCAGCCCGCACCCTACTAGACTCGCTCCCACTGATTCCGCCGCAGATGCTAGTGGCACCCCTGCTCGCGTCCCCAGCAAAAGCAGCAGTGGCAAGACAAGGCATGCGAGTCAGACAGCAGGAGATTTGGAGGGAGGGGGGGCTGCTGCAGGGGAGACGGGTAGAGTGGTGAGGAGTAAGGGAGTGGGTGAGAAAAAGAGGGAGAAGAGAGGAGCAGTGGTGGGGAGAGGGAAGGGAAAGGGGGAGGGCAGGAGAGGAGGGAGGAGTGTCGGTAGTTTGGTTGGTGTGGGTGAGAGCGGGGGTCAGGAGAATGGCATGGTGGAGAGCACAGAGGGGGGGAGGGTTGTCGAAAGGAACGAGCCGGCAGGAGGGATGGGTGGCAATGGGGTTGGGGTAAAGCACGAGAAGAAGGTGAAGGGGGGTGTCAGGAAGAATGCTAGAGAGGGAAAGATAGGTTTGGAGGAGGGAGGAACAGGGGTTAAGAGGGGAGACAGGAAGGCTGGGGTGATAGGGAAGAAGAAGACGGTGCAGGCGATTCAGGGAAGAGTGCTTGTCCGTTCTAGCGGCAGTGGTGGCAGCAACGGGAGCAGCGGCAGCGACAACAGAAATGGGAGAAACAACAGTGGTAGTAGCAGCATCAGCAGCAGCAGCATGAGTAGCAGCATGAGAAACAGCACAATCAGCAGCATCAGTAGCGTGAGCAACAGCAATGACATGGAGTACGATCGACTCGTGAATGAATGTGGAGACCGCCATCGGCCGCTGTTTGACCTGAACCTTGCGACATTTGAGGCTCCTCAGGAGATGTTTGACCTCAACGTTGCAGCTCCTGCTGACGCCGATACTGATGCTGCTGTTGGTGCTGGTGCTAACAATGCAGCTGGAGGAATTAGCTATGCGCGTGCAGGCACACGGAGGGTGGAGGAGAGGATGGGGCCAGCAGCACGTGATGCTGCTTCTGAGCTGCCTCAAATATCCCAAGCAAATGGTGCTACCAGGATGGGTTCAGCATGTCATGCTGCCAGGATTGGGTCAGCACGTGAAGCTGCCAGGTTGGGGTCAGCACGTGAAGCTGCCAGGTTGGGGTCACCACGTGAAGCTGCCAGGTTGGGGTCAGCACATGAAGCTGCCACCAGTGCACCCAGGCTCTCTGGGGGACAGAGCAGGCCGGGCATGGCTGCTCGCAGTGGCAACGACGCTCATCCTGCCACCACACTTCACCACCACCCCCATGCAACCCCCACCAACATCCATACCCATACCCTAGCCCGTACCCTGAGCCCTGTTCAAGTTGCTCCCACTCTGAGCACCCGTGGCTCTGGACCCCCTAGCAGTACCACGAGCCCGAATTCCCTCGCTGTGCCCAGTCCTACTAACTCGCATCCTCAGTCTCGTCCTGTCACAGTCACTGACAGCACCGATTCCGACTCAGGCGGCTTCTCCTTTCACCCAACTGCACGGGCAGCTTCAGCGATAGGTCAGGTGCTGCAGGCCTCAGCCACTGGTGCCCTGCTTTGCGACCCCCGACAGCCCATGAGAACCGTCCGCTTTCAAGAAGCGCAGGCCAGCAGCCATGGGCTTGGCAGTGCCAGTGGCCTTGTGGAGCGGGTGTTTCCTGCACGATCCGGTGCTGGTAGCTCTGCAGTACCGGTAGTAGTGCAGGGCAGGCCTAGGACGCCACTGCAGCGGCAGATTGCTGTTGTTGGGAGGGGTGTGGTGGATAATGAGGACGCTTCTGCTGACTATGCTAGCCACATGGTGCCGTGGTGATGCTGCATGTAATAGGATGCCCTGCTCCACCTTTTCTTGGGTTATTGTACAGACGTATGTACAGTAGCATCAGAGCTGTGTTTTTGCAGTAGGCACTGTAGGTCAGAACAGTTCTGCTGGGAAACTGTTACTGTTTTGTGGTTGCATCTCATGTGACGACCATGTACCTACCAGCCGTGAAATAGACAGCATATCTTGAACCAATATACAGCACTTTCCTAAGCAAGCGCAGCCTGGACTCAAGCTGCCAAGCATGCGGTTGCTGGCAGAGTTCTGCTGCCCGTGTGACAGAAAGTCGTACTGTCCAAAGAACCCTTCTTTCCACAACACAGCCAAACAGACAGGAGAGTCTCACAGGAAAACCTTGGACACCTTGGAAGCAGAGCCTACACAGGAGTGGGTGAACTGCAGAAAGGCATAGAACACACATTGGGGCCCAGGCGTATAGTCTACAGACTAAGATAGTGCCACTACCTTGAGAAAGAGTTGACCAGTCACAAGGTCCCCTCCCCACCATATGCAAGCAGGAAATCAAACAGAAAAACGTTCAGAACTGCAACGAGTGGCACCACCTGTAAAATCACACTCCCCTCATTACCACACCAGCACGAACAAACTCTTCCCGAGTCTCTGGAGTGATCTTTTCCACTTCAACCTTCAGGTCACTCAACCTTGGGAATGCTCCGAGGAAACCTGCAACCCCATCGGCAGTGATGCGATCGCATGCAAGCAGAGTGAGACACGTGAGCACCTCCAGTCTGCTGCCAAGCAATACTGCGTCCGACATGTCTTCGCTGTGCTCAACTGTCAGCTCCATCAACCCCAGACAATCATGCAGCAGGCTAGCCAGTCGCTGCTCGCCCAGCCCGGTGCAGCGCCACATTGTGAGCTTCTTCAGGCGTCCAAACATGTCTGCACATGGAAGGAATATCAATCGTTAAGTGCTGAATGTTTGGACTGAAAAAGGCACACGATACAGTGAAGAAAGAAACTTACTTGAAGCAGCAATGGACAGTGGAGGGGGCATAATGGGGCCGCGTGGGAGGAGCAAACCAGGCTGAGGAAGAGGGATGAAGTGAATATTGGTTAGCATGAGCATATCCACGGAGGCACAGATCGTATCCGCAGACGTTTCAGATTCGCTCCTCTCCAACGCTTCGGCTGCTGTCCTAGTACCGCCTGACTGTTCCACGCCTTCCCCTTCTCCCTGCACTACTTCTTCCCTCTCCTTCTCCCGCACCAACATGCATGCAAGGTCTTCCAGAGAAAGTTGACTTTTTTCTATCAGCAGATGATCCAAGGAGCAGTCAGCCAGCACGCCAGGGCTGAAGGCGGATAGGCGAGACAGCCTGAGGAAGCGGAGCTTGGGTGCAATCCCCTCTGACCGCAAGAGGTGATAACTGTCGCCCGTGAGGGAGAGGGTGGAGAGGGAGGAGTTGGCTCGAACCATGGCTGCCACTGAACTGGTGCAAACCCGGGGGCAGTTGTCGATGAAGAGGCGTGTGAGGGTCTGCAGGGAGAGAGAGAGGGTGTGCAGCTCGTGTGCGTGGAATTTGCATGCGAGCAAGGCCAGAGAGGCGAGGCGGGGGAAGGACGAGATGCATTCGAGGCAATCACGTAGATCAGCAGATTCAATGCAGAGCGAGTGGAGGGAGAGGCGGAAGGAGGAGGAGGAGGCGAGGGACAAGATGGTGGAACCTTTGGGATCCCAGAGGCCGAGGGAGGTGAGGGAGGAGCAGCGACGGAGGGAGGCGATTTTCTTTGGGACAAAGCCAAGCACGAAACTTTGCAAAGAAGGGAAGGCGTCCAGAGGGGGGAGGGCTGGCTTGGCGCGCAGGGGCGTGTCTGCGGAAGTAGGTGGGCCCAGATCCAGCAACGTCAATTGCCTGAAGGAGGAGGTGAGGAAGGGCAGGCAGGTAGGCGCATACGAGATTCAGGTTAACGAAATGGTGAGATGGAGGGAGCTGTGAACGCCGGAGGGCAGCGCTAAAGAGAAGAGGCAAGGAAGAGGAAATGAGGAGAGGCGGACGGGGGGAAGTGGGTGAGAGAACGAAAGAGAGGGAGAGAGGGGAGAGGGGAGAGGGTGTTAAGAGAGGGAGAGGGAGAATGAACCAATTTACTCACGAGCATTTTCTTGCAAACGTCCTCCACACTTCAGCATCCCGTGGAGTAGTATGAAACCGCGCTTGGATCGCCAGCTTCTTCAATTCCGGGCAGCTCGATCCCAGAGCCGCCAGCAGCCGGTTCTCCAGGCGAACAGGGATCTCCACGGATACCTCCGTGATGAGCGTAAACGTCACTGAAAAGTGCTTCAGCTGCTTGCACCACTCCCTGGCTCCGATGGGGTTTGTGCAGGAGAGAAAGTTGACGCGGAGCGCGAGGGGAGTGGATCGCAGCAGGCGGTGAAGGCGGGAGCAGCAGAGAGCAACGTTGGAGCGATCGGGGGGGTGATCGATGCGGCCAAGGATGGCGTCGAGGAGCTCGTCTGGCAGCGACAGCAGGCGGCAGTGGCTGCTTCTCGCCATGATGCCGAACCAGACGCTTACTAGTTAAGCGCCGTACGCTTTAGTTCCTGCCATAGCAAAGAGGAGTATAATTGGCCGTGAGGCTGTGCAAGGGGTATCGACTGACTGGAACGTCGAATGGCAATGAACGGCTGTATGCCACAAGGGAGTGACGGCAACGTCGAATTTAAAAATAGTAACGCGAGGGACTAACCGTTGCAGGCTGAACAGACGGAAGAAGAGGTCGGAGACTCTCCCTGCGTCGATCCCGGTGTGATAGTCGGCGAGTTCTCCATTCAGAGGCGAACGGGAAAAAAAAATACACGCTTGAACGCAGATCATAAAAGGTTCTGGCACGGTTCTGGGAGGAGTACTAGGTCTCGGTGTGCGAGGAGCTGAGGAGGAGTCGTGGGAGGACATCGGGAATGGATTCCCCCCCACCGATCCAGACTCAACCTTCGGCATGGAGCCGCCAAGAAGCCTGAGGAGATTGAGAAATACATTCCCAAGACCAAGCCGAGAGGTTCTCTGGATGGAGCTGTGAGGGAAGTTCCCAAGGGAGCCCGAGGCCGTGGAACTCCCATAGATCTCCGAAATCAACGGCCAGAGGTCTCCCATGGCCGTGAGTTCCCCAGGGCCCGGTGATCGAATCGCGAGTGGGTAGCCAAAGCTAGGTTCTGCACTTCAATGCCGCCTCGGTATTTTCCCCATCAGCCTCCATCTTTCCCATTTCGTACCCACCGTATGCTGTCCTGTTACCTGTACGGTATATCAGCATGACAAAATGTTAAAAACAGTTAGCTTGTTTGCAGAGAGTCTTCCTTTTTTAGATTAAAGCTGCCTTATGCTTGGTCTCTATATGGCAATGCATGTTCCACTCGCAACTAGCCGCTTTTTGTTCGTGTCAAACATGCCTGTCATTTCCGTGAATACACATTTCAGGCCAAGATTTGCCTTGGCGAAAATCAGTAAGGTGCAAGCAACGGAAGAAGCACATCCATTCTGACCTGACTATACAAGGATCACTCGAGCTCTATATCTGCTGCTCTGGTTGTCGAGCTACACCTTACTCACTTCCACGCCAGCACGGAGCAACACTTCAGAACACCCTTCAGAGACCTTATCCCCTTCCACCTTCAGTAGGCGCAATTGTGGAAAAATCTGAGGCAGGTATGCAATGCCAGCAGCAGAGATTTCACTGCAGACCACCAGAGTGAGATACCTGAGCATCTCCAGCCTGCTTCCAAGCAGCACACGGTCTGACATGACCTCATCCTGCTCCATATCGAGTTCCACTCACCAGCATGGGGCATGCATGCAGCAGTCCAAGCAGCTCCTGCTTGTCGAGCCCAGTGCACTGCATCAGTACGAGCCTCTTCAGCCTTCCAAAGATAGCAACACATGCCCCCACCTCGAATGGGACATATGGGATGCTTGGACCTGGGGGATTACTAATAGGAACAACTGGGGTAAACACGGAGCGCAGGAGGCGGCATAGGGGGAGGCCTTGTGGGCAGAAAGACATAGTCAGGAGTAAGGATCAAACGACACTGCTTAAGCATCAGCCCTTCAAGGTCAGCCCAGATCCATTCCACAGGCATTTGATACCCGCTCCTCTCCAAGGCTCCGGCCGCTGTCCTTGTGCTGCCTGACTGTTCCATGCCTTCCCCTTCTCCGTCCACATCTTCTTCCCTGTCCTGCACCCGCACCAGCATGCATGCAAGCCCTCCCAGGGATATCTCACTTTCTTCAATCGTCAGAAAATCTACCAAGCAGCATGCCAGCACGCCAGGGCTGAAGGAGGATAGGCGAGACAGCCTGAGGAAGCGGAGATCGGGTGCAACGCCCTCTGAACGGAAGAGGTGATAGGTGTCGCCAGTGAGGGAGAGGTTGGAGAGGGAAGGGTTGGCTCGGCACCATGGCTGCCACTGAACAGCTGCAGGCCCCAAGGCAGTTCTCGATGCTGAGGCGTGTGAGGGAGTGCAGGGAGCGAGAGAGGGTGAGCAGCTCGAGTTCGTGGAACTTGCATGAAAGCAAGGCCAGAGAGGCGAGGCGGGGGAAGGACCAGAGGGATTCAAGGCGATCGTGTAGGTTGGCAGATGGAATGCAGAGCGAGCGGAGGGAGAGGCGGAAGGAGGAGGAGGAGGCAAGGGAGAAGATGGTGAAACCTTTGGGTTTCCAGAGAGCGAGGGAGGTGAGGGAGCGGCAGCGACGAAGGGAGGCAATATACGAAGCGGAGGATGAGGGACTGCAGAGAACGAAAGGCGTCCAGAGGGGGGAGGGTTGCCCTGGCGTCCAGAGATGTGTCTGCGGAAGTGGGTGGGCCCAGATCCAGCGACGACAATTGCCTGAAGGAAGAGATGATGAAGGACAGGCAGGAGGTTGCATAAGAAGGAGGGGTTCAAGATGTCGGAAGGGCGGAAGGGCGAGATGGAGAGAACTATGAACGCAGGATGACAACGCTGTAACGGAAAAGGCAAGAGACAGGGGATGAGGAAGGGCAGATGCGGGAAAGTGGGTGAGAGAAAAAGAGAAAGAGGGATAGAGGGGGAGAGAGAGAGACTATACCAAACCAATCTACTCACGTGCACTTTCTTGCAAACGTCCTCCACACTTCCATCATTCCGTCGATTAGTATGAAGCCGTGCCATGATCACCAGCTCCTTCAATTCCGGGCAGCTCGATCCCAGAGCCGCCAGCAGCCGGTTCTCCAGGCGAACAGGGATCTCCACGGATAAACTGGTGATGCAACGCCTTTGAGTAGTGCTTCAGCAGATTGAACCATTCACTAGGTCCGATGGGCCTTGAAGGAGAGACGAGGTTGACGCTGAGCGAAAGCGGCGCGCAGCGTATCAGCTGCCGGAGGCGAGAGCAGGTAAGTGCAACGCTGTCGAGATCGGGTGGGTGAACGATGCGAGTAAAGATGGCCTCGAGAAGCTCGATTGGTAGCGACAGCAGCCGAGAACGGCCGCCACCCGTCATGATGACGAACCGAACGATTGCTAGTCGAGAGCGGTGCCCTCAAATGTACCCGGATTTCATCCGACTGAGATTCATAACGGCGTCCTGATGTGTTTCCTGCAATAGCAGCGAGAGGGGTCGTAAGGCAATCCAAAGGCGATTGAATGGAATGTAGAACAAAAAAGAAGTCATTCTCTCGGATTGCACGGACTAACCGTTGCTTGCAGAGTCGAAGAAGCACCACGTCAAGAAGAACAATTGAAGGCCGGGAGAAGCGGTCGGAGCTTCCCCATGCGTGTATCCTCGTGTAAACGCCGAGCTCTTCATTCGGAGGCCAGAGAAGAATGGAACGTTCTGAATGCGGATCAGAAGAAAAGCCGGTGAGTATGGCTCTGGCCCTGGAGGTGGGGAGGAGTGAGCTGGCAGAAAATCAGCAGTGGTGGTGGAAAGGAATTTTGAAATTCCCATGGCTTGGAACACACGCGCCTTCTCAAGGCTGTGTGCTGCGTGTGTTGTGCTCCCCTCCACTCCACCCCTTGCACGACGCGGCGGGGGTTCCACCTCAATCCCGTTTCGCAACGAATGCTGGAAAACACTTCGCGAGCTGCACGCAGGGTTTGCGATAAGCCTGGGATACCCGTGCTTCGGTAAAAAACACAACTAAAGCACCGGTTCGTATGTCTAGCCTGGTTACGCAAGTGACCTTAAACCTGGTTACGCAAGTGACCTTTAATTCGGTTACGCAATTAACAACCTGGTTCCATGAGCACCACCAAAATGAGGCACAAACATTCAAGCACTCTACACCACAGCAAAGGCACAAATCCCCCTCTCAGTTGCCATGCCCACTGCATCAGCTACAAACTCACATCCCCCTCACCACGACGCCAGCACGAAGCAGGTTCCTTCGAGCCCTTTCAGGAACCTTGTCCGCTTCCACCTTCAAATGCCTCAATGCAGGAAAACTTCCAAGCACCCCTGTGATGCCAGCAGAAGTGACCCAGTCACAGTCAACCAGAGTGGCATGGGTGAGGGTGTGGAGTGTGGTTGCAAGCAGCAGTGCGTCAGACATGGCCTCGCTGTGCTCCACCCTCAGCTCCACCAGCCACTGGCATGCATGCAGCACCCCCTTCAGCTGCTCCTCCCCCACCTCTCTGCAATGCACCAGTGCCAGCCGCTTCAGCCGCCCAAGCACCGCCGCCCACGCAATGCTCTCAAACGAGTGGTTCTGAACTGTAAGGCTCGGGGAGGAACCAGGGAAGGAAGAGGAAGGTGAGAGGCGCGAGGCGGAAGCGGAGATAAGGGAAGCAAGGCACATGGGCGGGGATGTAGACGGAAGGTCTGTAGGCAGCCAAGAAGAATCAAGGGTAGGGAGAAACTGGATATTCTCTAGAACCAGGGAGTCGAGGCAAGGGCATGCCACTTCCACAGGTACTGCCCTTTCCATTCCTTGGGCTGCTTCAGCTGCTGCGAGCCTGCTGCCTGGCTGCCCTCCAGTCCCCTCCTCTTGAGGAGGTTCCTCCCCTTGTCCTCCCTGCTCTTGCACTCCCTCCCCGTGTACCCCCCCTTGAACCTGCTGCATCCCTCCTGGGGTTCCTGCTGCCACCCCAACCGCTGCTGCCATCCCAACCGCTGCTGCCACCACAAACCCTGCTGGCGGCCCAGCTGCTGCTGGCACCGCAACGGCAGCTGCTGGAACCACAACCGCGGCTGCTGGCGCCACCAGTGTGGCTGCTCGCAGCGCAGCTGCAGCTAGTTCCCCAGCCACTACCAGCGCAGGCTCACTCCTCTCCTGAGCAATCATCTGCGCGCGCAGGGCTTCAAAACTCTCATTCAGTGCAGAGGAGTGCGTGCGCATCTGCGCCTCGAGCCCGTCCAGCACAGCCAGCAGCTGCGGCCGCGACGCCTCGGGTGCGTCGTCAGCACCGGGCTCCGACTCCACCATGTTACCTATGAACTCTGGCGCTGCTCCAGCCGTATACTCTTCATCAGTGAGCAGCAATTGTGAGAATGCTCCCAAGCCTCTTTCTCCCAACCCCGTTTCTTCCTCTTCTTCTTCGTCTACTTCCTCTTCTTCTTCGTCATCGTCTCCGCTGTTTAAGCTAGCATTCTCTCTGAAAATCCCTGCAGCTTGAGCAGCACTAAAGGCGCGCTTGATAGCGAATTGCCTCCTCCTGGCCATATTGAAATCCTGCGCCCCTGCACAGGCGGACTGGCAGGCCGAGATGGCAGTAACAGCCCTCTTATTGGCAATCTTGATGGAGTAGAGCGACTCAGAGTGCCGCGCGGAATGGGCTGCGGAGCGCGCACGGGGCAGGCACTCCATGGCTGCTTTGAACAGCTTGCCAACATCGTCCAAAGACGAGGCTAAATCCGCAATCACCGCCGCTGCTCCTGCACGGATATCGACGTACGTTCTCCGACCCTCTTCTCCGGTGCTGCTGGTGCGGCTTCTCCTGCTGCTGCTGCTGCTGCTGCTGCTGCTTGGGCTGGTGTTGCTGCTCCCGCGGCCATTGCTGCTGCTGGAACGGCAACCGTGCCCTCTCCCTCTTGGCTGTCAATAACTACCTCGCCATCTCCCTCCTCTCCTCCCTCCCCTCCCTCCCCCCATTCCTCCCGTTCCCATACCCTCGTCTCCACCCTCACCAGCATGCACACAAGCTCTTCCAGCGACCCCTCTGCCCCTTTCAGAGTCAGGCATCGCAGACTGCTGCAGTCAGCAAGCATGGCAGGGCGGAACGAAGGCAGCCCTGAGAGCGTGAGCGTGTCGAGCTTGCTATACGGCATGTGTAGCACGGTTGACAGCCTTCTGGCGCTGAAGAGGCGGTAAGAGGAGCCGGTGAGGGAGAGGGAGGAGAGGGCGGGGTTGGCTCGAACCATGGCTGCCAGTGCGCGGCTGCAGACGAGGGGGCAGGAGTCAATGGTGAGGTGGGTGAGGGCGTGGATGGAGCGAGAGAGGGAGTGCAGCTCGCATGGGTTGAACAAGCACGAGTGGAGGGAGAGGGAGGAGAGGAGGGTGAAGGAGGAGAGGCAGGGCAGGTAGTTGGTTAGGCTGGCGGATTAGAGAGTGAGGGATTGAAGGGACTGGCGGACGGAGGAGGAGGGGGAGGCGAGGAGGGCGAGGGAGCCGCCGGTGGGCTGCCAGAGGGAGAGGGCGGTGAGGGAGGAGCAGCGGAGGAGGGGGGAGATGTCCTTCGCGGGGAAGCGGAGGGTGAAGGAGCGCAGAGAGCGGAAGGCGCAGAGGGGCGGCAGGGCGGTCCTATCCTTGTAGCGGTAAGCGGAGCGGGCTTGACGGGAGTCGAGCTCCAGATGAGTCAACAGGCTGCAGTGGGTGGTCAGGGGGGGTGGGGGAGGGGGGGCGGATTTGTCTCAATATGTTGTTATGCTCTACTTCTACACCTCCCTTAGCACCTCAGCTGTACAAGAACGGCGGGTTGCTTGAGAGAAGCGGGTGGAGAAAGAGCCGCCGTTCAGTTCAGCCATTCCCCACACCAGTCAACGCACGGACATTGTCTTTTGAGTCGGACTCAAAAGCCACCTCCATTCCCCAAAAGTCACCTCAATAGTCACCTCAATAGTCACCTCAATAGTCACCTCATTAGTCACCTCATTAGTCACCTCAATAGTCACCTCAATAGTCACCTCAATAGTCACCTCAATAATCACTTCAATAGTCACCTCAATAGTCACCTCAATAGTCACCTCATTAGTCACCTCATTAGTCACCTCAATAGTCACCTCAATAGTCACCTCAATAGTCACCTCAATAGTCACCTCAATAGTCACCTCAATAGTCACCTCAATAGTCACCTCAATATTCACCTCAATAGTCACCTCAATAGTCACCTCAATAGTCACCTCAATAGTCACCTCCCTTCAGCCATTCCCCAGGCCAGTACACTCACGGGCATCCCCGCGCAAGCGTCCGCCACCCGCTAGAGGTGATGTCAAAGTACACCCACTGCGGCGCCAGCAGGCTCAGCTCTTCCAGGCGCGCGCAGCCCGCGCCGATGCCCGCCAGTAAGTAGTCCCGCAGGGTGTTTGTCACGTGAACGGTCAGGCTGGTAATGCGGGGAAATACCCTCGATTTCTCGTCGAAATCGCTCAGCCATCCGCGGATTTTGAAGCGTCCCGGCCGTTGGTACGACATGAACTCGACGCGAAGCACGTGAGGCGTGCAGCGCGAGATGCGGCGGAGGCGCGAGCAGGTAAGCGCGACGCTGCAGCGATCGGAGGGGTGGTCGACGCGGCTGAGAACGGCATCGAGGAGCTCGTCTGGGAGCGATAGCAGGCGCGAATCGCGGCCGCCATGCTTCGTAATGGCGACCCGCGTGCCACGTGGCATGGCCGTAAACACCGGCGGTGCTCGAGTGGAAGGACTTGGGCGTGCAGGTGCAATGTCAGACGCAACGATGATCGTATCTCTGTCGGAGCAACGCGTGAACGGTGATGGACGAGGTGAGCCGGCACGTTCGGTAAGGTATTACCACGCAGAGACTACGAAGACAAAAGAAGAACCACACAATGACCGTATGGTAGTACTAGTCAGTTCGATACCCCGGTTCTTACGTCAGGCTCTCCAGTTGGTAGTCAATACGAGGTACCACCAACACGAGCAAAGCTGCGTCATAGGAAAAGAGTGGCACTTCTTCAGTCTGCCGACGGTGGGATTGAAAAAGGAAACTCGAATTTCAGAACAGCAGTTTGCGAGACATTTTCCCCCCGCGAAAGTGGGATACCCGAGATTCTTCGCCGATAACGACAACATAGTTCGTGAAAAAAACTGGCGAAGTGCTTGCTCACCTGCAGCTCACTCCCCCATTCCTCAACTTTCTACCTCCCTGCCCAAACATTTTCCAACCCCCTAAGGTAAGCCTGTATAGTAACTTTGTCGTTACAACGTAAGTGCATTGCGTATTGTGCGCTGCAGATTACTAGCTGCCGGGGGAAACTAGCTGCGCCTGGGGTACACGAGATATGGGACCGAAGGTGGGTAGCAGGCTGTAGATGACATACTTCCCAACATCACCCAATATTAGATAACTCTCATGATTCAGCGACTCTGTTCCAGACAGGAAAGGAGCAGGTACAAGCTACGCAACGCCTAGACATGGCACAGCAAGCACAACCCCAATCCACCACTCTGGTCAGCAGCACCTCTGCCTCCCCACATCACTCAGCACCAGCCACTCTACTCGTCACCGCCTTCCTTCTTGTACACGTACGTGAGCCCGCACTTGCCGCAGTAATGGCGGTCGAAGTGGTTGGCCATGAAGGTACCCGGGCCGCAGTCAGGGTTCGGGCACTCCTTGCGCAGGCGCTGCACCTTGCCGCTGTCGTCCACCTTGTAGAACTGCAGCACCGCGAGTTTCACCTTTTTCTTCTTGTGCTTAAGCTTCTTGGGCTTGGTGTACTGCTTTTTTTTGCGCTTCTTCGCGCCACCACGAAGGCGGAGCACCAGGTGGAGGGTTGACTCCTTCTGGATGTTGTAGTCCGCCAGGGTGCGGCCGTCCTCCAGCTGCTTGCCGGCGAAGATGAGGCGCTGCTGGTCGGGAGGGATTCCCTCCTTGTCCTGAATTTTGGCCTTCACATTGTCGATCGTATCGGACGACTCCACCTCAAGGGTGATAGTCTTGCCCGTGACTGTACCGGGGGGAAAAGGGGGTAAGGAGGGAGAACAAGGTGGTGAGTGTCTGGAATCGCTTAAAAAACATGGAAACTCGGTGCACGCGGGGAGAAGGGAAGGGGAGTCGACAGGCAAACGTTAAATTTAGTGAAAGCCGTGGGGATAGAGAGCTCTGGTTGAACAAGACATGATGAATACGGAAGGGGCGTCCAGGGTGAGAGCCAGCCACATGAGAGGATGACGTCGTACGGGAAGAGAGGGAGCGATACATCGGAAGGACGGGCGGAACAAAGCGGTTCAAACGCCACGGAAACAAGATAGAAAATTCAGCAGCGATATGCGTGGGGGACATGTTTGGACAACGAAGCGTCAGCGAAGATGACGAGAAACTGACTGCAAGCAACTCACGGGTAGCGAACTACACCGGGAAACAAAACTCACGGCCCGCATCAAACGGGCCATATGAGTAAAGAACACAACGGGACGCAGAAACAGGCGAGGAACTATTAGGTTCACGGCGCGATAGCAGCGGGAAAAGGGGGATTAGCATAGCCATAACGCCATCTGAGTCGAAACTAAAAAGATAGGGATCGAGAAGCTCACGGGTCTTCACGAAGATCTGCATGGCTGCTGACTGTCTAGTCCACTAAAACTCAGTTGTCCGCTTAGTCGTCACCTGTGCGCCCTCGGCGTTCCCTCTCAGGACTATTCCGTCGTTGAGGGACTCCGGGTTCCCCCCTCCAAGTGTGAAAAGAGGCCTTTGCAGGAGAGAGCCGCAAGTTTATAACCCTCAACCACCGCTCCTCCCAGTTCCTCCCTCCCGCTTTTCGCATACCTTTCGCTGGACACCTCGCCACTCTCTTCGCCTATTCAGGAGCTCGTAAACGCGAACATCTTTTTGGGGTTTGTTTTCACGACTCCATCCGCCGGAGAAGCTGACGGAGCCACTCATATTGTGAAAAAACCAAAAACAAATTGGCTCTCAGTGTACATAGAGATAACAAAGCGCATATCTCCTAAAGACTTGCTAACACATACTTCTACAACCTTCTTCATGTAGCTACATATAGCATTCGAGTAACCTAGTATTAAAAGGCAATACGACAAATGTACCTAGTATAATATTTAAGTGAGACATTTTGAGGCATTTTTCTTGGCCGACCCAAATGAGATGTGTGTGATACGGTAAGCCTTGGTTAAATGCTACATTTTTGTTAGTGCCCTATAGAGTGTCTGCCAGCATTCATAGTTTCATAGTGGTACGGCTTACAATGAATCATTGCTTCGTGCTCGCTCGATGCTTGCGCTATCAAACAGTGAAAATTAAATGAATAGAGAGAGAGAGTACACAAACATATACATAACTGTTGTACTCTCTAGAAGATGACCCTATACAGTCTATACAAGCATGATAACTAAACATGTTTGACACACCCCCTGGACTGCATAGGGGAATGTTCTAGACAAGCAGCTCAGGGTGGCACTACTAGTCCAGCCTCTGAGACAAGGGTCTAAAAGACCAGTCAGAAGGAGTACAGGCAAGGCAAGAACTAGTACAGGGCGGCACTACTAGTCCAACCACTGTAAGAGGACACAAGTCCAGTCTGAGTGTACACACAGATATATAAGACAGTACAGAGTCAAGGCCCGAGTAAGTGAGAGACTACAGGAACCAGACCAAGCTGTACACAGTGCCGCTGATGATCTTTAGGCGCAAGCGCCTTCGTAAAGATATCAGCTGTGTTGGCACCGGAGGCTAAGTGTACTACGCGAGCCTGGCGACGCTGCTGTAGCTCACGCAGGAGGAAGTACCGCAGCTGGATGTGCTTCGCTCTGCCCTCGAGTCGAGGCTCCTGACACAGGAGGATCATGGCCCTGTTGTCAGCGTACAGGACCGGGGCAGAGCTAGGCCGCTCACCTAAGTCAGTGAGCAAGAAGGTCAGCCAGCGGAGCTCCTGTGCCGCCATGGCACCGGCGTAGATCTCGGCCTCACAGCTGGACTGGGCAACAGACGAAGAGCGGGTAGCTCTCCACGAGACAGCACCTGAACCAAGGCTAAAGCAGTAGCCCTGGGAAGACCTGAGCGTCTCGGCGTCGTCTGCCCAAGAAGCGTCTGTGTGTCCAGTAAGGACCACTGGCCTGCGTCCGCCTAGCACTAACCCCATGCCCGATGTACTTGCAAGATAACGCAAAACCCTCTTAGCGGCAGACCAGTGCTGAGGTCGGTGCCTGCCTGTGGCCACGAAACGAGCCAGGATGCTGAGAGGGTATGCGAGATCTGGGCGAGTGCAAGTCATCAGGTACATGAGGCAACCCACTAGCTCAGCGTAAGGACCACTGGGATCTACCGACTCCTCAGGAACTGGAGCGGAGAGTCTGTGGTCCAGAGGAAGAGGGGTGGGCTGTGCGGAGGAGAACTGAAGGCCGAACCTCTGAAGGACCTGGCGCACCAAGTGTGACTGAGTCAGGGTGATGGTGCGCGCGGCTCTGTCCCTGGAGATCTGCAAGCCAAGGTAACGGCGCAGCTCTCCAAGGTCAGTGCAGGTGTGTCTCTTCAGCAGCTCTGCCTTCACGGAGGCCAGTGCGTCCCTGTCAGCAGTGGCAAAGACCAGGTCGTCTACGTAGACGAGGATGTAGAACGGAGTCGAGCCAGCACGAACGAAGAGCGAGGGGTCTGCAGAGGACGGAAAGAACTGCAGGTCAGCAAGGGTAGCACGCAAAGTGTCGTGCCACTCACGAGGCGCCTGGCGCAGGCCGTAGACTGGCCGCCGCAGAAGCCACTGGGTCCCAGGGGGGAAGGTGCCAGTAAAGCCCTGAGGGCGACGCAGGTAGACCTGCTCGTGAAGGCTGCCCTGAAGAAAGGCAGTGGAGAAGTCGAGGGAGTGAAGCTCGTAGTCACGCTGAGCCGCTACGTGTAGCAGCACCCGAAGAGTAGTCATCTTCGGGGTAGGAGCGAAAGTCTGAAAGAAGTCCACCCCCTCGCGCTGACTGAAGCCTCTAGCCACGTAGCGCGCCTTGAACACAGGCGGCTCTCCAGGAGGGCGCTTCACCTTGAAGAGCAACGGCCATCGACCACGTTCACCCCAGGTGGGGGAACTGCGTCGACGAAGGTGCCGGTGGATCTCCAAGATGCCATCTCCTGCTCCATGGCAGCTATCCACTGAGAGGCCCAGGGTCCCGAAACCGCCTCAGCGTAAGTACGAGGGGTCGGGATGTCGAAAGCGTCTGGGTCACCCTCAGGGACTAGCAGCATGGAACAGAGATGGGGAGCAGCCTCGGACAGGAAAGCAAGCTCAAACTGGCGGTCCTCCAGGACGTCACTGCCGAGGGGCAGGAGCACACCCGACAGACGGAGGACAGGCAGGGTGAGAGACCAGAGCGGTGGCGTAGTCAAGGCGGCGGGTAGAGGCGAAGTCAGCGACCGCAGCGACGAGGGCGTCAAGACTCGACACGGGAACAGACGGGTCGGTAACGAGAGAGGCAAGGACCCGAGGAACAAGAGGACGAGCGGCCACGAAAGGAGTCGGACAGAGGAGGAGACGCAACGACAAGAGAAGACGGAGGAGGAGACGGGAGGAGGGGAGGTCGAGACGCGTGGGAACGGAGCAACATAGGGTGAGAGCGCGGGACAGGGGAGACAGGACGAGCACGAGAGGGGCGGCGAGACCAGACGTGGGAGGGCGGCGTCGGGTCAGGAGACAGAGGAGGGGACACAGGAGGGGAACGAGGGGGAAGACGAGCCGGGGACGAGTCTGGCAGAGGGAACACGGGGCCGTAGACGGGAAGAGGGGGAGACGGCAGGAGAGGAACAGGCGCAGGGTCAGGAGACGGAAGGCCGAGCAGACGGAGGGCGGACACAGGCGGGGACTGCTGCTGCGGCGACACAACACCAACACCAGGGCCACAAGCTGCGCGACGGCTACCTCCCGAACCCTCCACACCTGCACCCCCAGAAGGGACACCCCCAGAGTCCACAAACGGCGGCAGCGACGACGGCGGCGGCGGCGGCTGCAGCGACGGCTGCGACGGCGGCGGCGGCGGAGACGACGGCTGCAACGGCGGCGGCGGTGGAGACGACGGCTGCAGCAGCTGCGGCGACGGCGGCTGCGGAGGCGGTGGAGGAGGAGACACCGGGGGAGGGACAGACGGCGAGGACTGCGCCGGAGGACTACCAGAGGCAGAAGACTCGTCGACCGGGACGACCGACGGGAGGGGGGTGACGTGAGACACACCAGAGGGGGCCGGACGGGGGGGGCGGGGGGGGGGAGGGGCAGGGACCACCAGGGAGGGAGGAACCAGGAAAAGGGGGGGAGTAACCGGGGGACCACGGTGGGGAAAGCGGCGGTAGAAGGAGACGGACTCGTCAAAGGTGACGTCGCGAGAGTGAAAGAAGCGGTGAGACGGCGGGTGGTAGAAGTGCCAGTCGGACGCGTCAAGGGGGAAACCGAGGAAGACGCAGGGGAGGGTGCGGGCAGTGAGCTTGTCCGTGCCAGAGGCACGAACGTGAGCAAGGCAGCCCCAGACGCGGAACGCAGACGCGTCACCAGGGGACCCGGTCCACTGAAGGGTCGGCGAAACCTGCGGCCGTTGGGGGTGCGGCCACAGGTTAAGCTGGTGAGCGGCGTAGCGCACAGCGAACGGCCACAGAAAATGGGGTGCACCGGCGTGGATCATGGAGGTGCGAGCCACCTCCATGACCAAACCGATGCGTCGCTCAGCGACCCCATTCTGCTGCGGGGAGTCCGGCAGGGTAAACGTCTGGGTGATGCCCTCCGCACGACAGAAGCGACCAAGGACACCTGAGGCAAACTCGCCACCCCCGGTCGGGAGTGAAGGCGCAAGGCAGGGAGACCGCGGTGGACACGAGCAGAGACAAGCCAGGGGATGAGAACGTCAGGCACGTCGGCCTTCCCGCTCCAGGGGGAAGACGGTGGTGTAGCGCGTGAAGTCGTCGACAAGCACTAGGAAGAAGCGCTCGCGACGCGGCCCATGGACCGGGGCTGGGCCCCAGACGTCCATGTGCAGAGTCTGCAGTGGTGCGGTGGTAGGGGGAAAAGAGGAGGAGTGAGGGGCACGGCGGAGCCGGCCCTCGACACAAGGCGTGCACGGTGGGGCGGGGGAGGAGGGGAAACTCGGGGAACGAACCGGGGAGACCAAGGACGAGACCGTGCTGGGACATGTGACGCAGACGTGGGAGTGCAGGGTG